AATTAGAAATATCTCTCTATAAATTAATAATTATTAATTTATCGATAAATTAATACCTCTATAAATTAATAGATTTTCATAGAGGTTTTACTGTATATGTTTTCTTTGATTACTTTGTATTTTTGTTTCATTTGGCCATTGTTGCTTATCTTTGTGGTATAAAATAAAACAGGACTGGAGCCATCACAGACAATAACATTAGTGAAAAAGGTAAAATATGGAGAACACGCCGTGGAAGCTGCGTGGCCATTAGGTAGCGCCATCGAGGCCGTATCCTCACCGTGACGTGTGCATTTTTGGGAATTATAAAAAAAAAACCTTAATTCTTTTGATTTCTCCCAAAGCTTTTTCTTTGCCTCAATTTTTACCATCTTTAAAAGCAACTTATCATTTTTATTACAATAATCGTATTTTTTCTAGAGGAAATGGTTTTTTTTTTGCCTTATATTAATATACATATCTACCCTTTCCAGATCTTTGCTCTTCTTCAGTTCCGTGTATTTTTGTTCATGATATTAATATTTTTATTATAGTTTCCAGAACAAATCATGAGTTTTAATTACTGTTATTTTTTTAAAAAAATTCTGTAGCATTTTAAAATGAGAACAACGTTGATAATATATTAGTTTTGTCTAACTAAAAAATATTAATTATCATCAAAAACTATATATAGATTTCAGAGTTTAGCATGTTCATAAGTTTAGAGTTAAATAATTGTGAAAATGACGTATGGCTGTGAATGTGGTGTTTCGTAAATCCACGTGGTGATTGAACTCCAATTATTGTCTCCCCGGCTCATGTCCCTCGAAACATATGCAATTACTTGCACACAACAAATGGTGATTCATCATTTTTATTTGGCTTTTTTTTAAAAAAATTATTTTTGGAAACGATAATCTTTACTAGGTAGAACCAAATTTTCTAAGGAACTGTTTTAATTATTGTGTCACGAAATAATCTATATTTGATATAAAAGTTTAAAAAATAATATTTGGGGATGTTTTAGTTAAAAACTACTACAAAATACAGTATTAGAAACTGCATTTCCCGGAAAAAAAAGAGGAGTACTACAAACTGTATAAAACTAATAATGTATATATATACATATATATAAGAAACTAATCAAGAATTAAACATGTATTGTCTTTAAAACATCAAATATAAAGAATACCAACATATATTGGACGAGTTCAAACAACTTCAAAATAATCAGAAAATACCAACATATATTGGACGACTTCAATGGTCTTTTGTATGGCCTGAGACTGAGATGGCACATTCTGAATTTCCAATATGCATGGCCCAATCTGTAAATAATAAGAAAAGAAAAAAAGAATTTTGAGCACTGAAGAATGAAGAATGAAGTTGCTCTAAACCATTCTGAATTTCTGATAGAACCGGCTTGCAAAAAGCCATGCATCATGCATGTATTATTGAGTTCTAAACCGACTTGAAGTTTAGAGATGTTTTTTTTTGGATAATTCGGATTACAACAAGGATATTTACAATATTTTCCATATAGAATGAAATAATTGTTATGGTATCATGTCTAATTATTAATCATTGGTATATATGTATATATATGAGAAAATCAGGATTCAAAAATAAATATTGTATATAAATATATATCCAAGAAAATGGAGAATATATATTGTCAAGCTTCATGGTGAAGCTAGGTTTTATTTGTCAATGAATTATTGGGGAATCATTTGAATTTTAACAAATAGAATAAAGCAAACCCAATAATATTAATATTTGTCCATAAAAATGACGACATATAACACATTTTATTTTCAACGAAGCATCGTAACTCGTAAGGGTTACTTTCACATTTTGAAAAGACTACTCCTTGATGAAATGGTAATCATCAATCTCTAGTTTTGTTCAGTATAGTTTGATTAATGATTAATCTTAGATTGAAGATTGTTATCATATAAGTATATTGATAAAATGAAACTGAATCATTGGATTTAGACTAGATTAGAGACGATTGTTTCTTCCTACGTAAGTACGTAGAACAAATATGAGTTTGAACCTAATTATAAGAAAAAAGAACAAGAAGAAAATAACCTTATTAAGGGATCATTCGATGAACACGCATGAATAAGTATCAGGTTTTGATTGGTGAGCTAAATAATTATATCGATGTGACACTTACTTATTATGTGACGACCCATGCATTAGCTCAAAATAATTGAACTCATGTGGAATAATTTTATCCTTTCTTTTACTTATTTTGTTTAACATAATTTGGTACGTATAGTCGTATAGATATGCACACAACAACACACTTGGATTTGTATCATTTGCTGTAAATATATAAGATTTGGTTTACATATATATGCTTAATTATGATTTTGTATGTCCACGTATGTGTGTGTGACGTTTAGATAAATGTATACTTGTCTTGCTATGGGGGAGCAATTACACCGATCGAAGATCATATTAAGTCGTTTTCTAATTTAGGTTAATCACGAATTAATTTGAGTCATATAAGAAGACTTGGATCAACTAATAAAATTCTGGTAATCGAAATTGACAATTATATATTTAATACTACGATAGAGATATAATAAATTTTCCGCGTACCATAATATTCTGTTTATGCCATGGCTTTTTTAAAGCGTTAACATTCTATTATAATACCTTCTGTTACCAAATATAAAATAAATATATAAATATATCAGAAATTGCGTTACATAAACACCTTTGGATTATATTTTGAAAAATTTATACATGTATATATGTAAATGTATGAATATATATATATATAGTATTTTAGTCTTAAAACCAAAATCATACTAAGTTTGGTTGGTAGTAGTTTTTTTTTTTTTTTAAATGCTAGTAAGTTATGGTAACAGTATTCTATTTGGACGTGCTAATTGTTTGGTTTATTTTTTAAGAAAAAACTATGAAAGGCTTTACCTCTATATAATTAGGTATATATGATGATCTTTACGGCATAATCTTATGCTATTGTTTGCACGTATAAGCTCATAATTTAATTAACTACATTTATACGTGTTTAGGATATATTTTAAACACGTACATGTATACAGTATATTTTTTTAAAGCATATTAATCGTTATCCACCATACGATATGGGTGTGTGATCTTATAATGATTTTGGATAAAAATTATCTCAATCGATCTAAGAAGAGACTAAATGCAATATCAAAACAGTTCAGAATATTACGTTTATCAATAAGCATATCTGAATTTATGAGATGTCATATCAGAAAATATTATCACAAATACAAATCAAAATTCAGTTCAATATAAAACACAATCACATATTTTATCCTGTCTAAATTATTCCAAACAAAAATAAATATGATTAATGTGTATTACGTAAGAATATGGTGAGGTGGAACATGTATGACAGAATAGTCTAGTCTACATAATCCGCTAAGTAGCTAGCAAAGCCCTCGAAGGAAAAACAAAGTTGGCAAATTGACTTTTTAAACTTTAACAAATCTAATTTGTAATTACCAAACTAATCGATAAGAGATAATCGTTAATTGTATGTTAAATAATCTTTTAACAACATTATCCTTTTCTTCTTCTTCCTCCAAATGACGCAAAGACTGCCCATATGATATTTAATGTTCTACTGAATATACAGATGGGTTTACTAAAGAAATACTCTAATGTTCAAATAATACAACTGTACAATATAATTAGATTTGAACCACTTAATTAAATGTATCTTCTACGATCCATATTTTTATTAAAATATAATATATACAGATCTTAGCAAGAATATGTATACTAACTTCATTATAATAATACTTATAGAAACATCTAAGAAGTTCATCTAAATTAATCAAAAGAGAAAACCAAAGATACATACTGATCATATATACAGCCTCGATCGATATAAGAAAACCAAATTAAAAAGAGAGAAAAAGTATGGTATTTTCTCAATTTAAAAAAATTTGTTCATAGAAATGTTCTCACATAATTTATATATAGTAGTAATAATTATTCATATACGGGCACAACATGAAGATGTATTAAATAAATATATATATAACTATTTTACATCGTAATTACTACGTCGTAATCTATAATATATATATATATATATATATATATATATTTTTAAAAACTTTCTTAATCTAACCAAAACATTTTTGACTATTGTCTTTCGATTCTTGTTTACTTTTTTCACTACTCCTTTTGTTCTCTATAAACAAATGGTTTAATATCGTGTGCATTGGATTTTAACCAAATTGCGATGTGATAGTCAAAACTCAAAAATAAATGAAGCTTCTTTTTAACTTTATAGCAATCACAGAAATAGCTGTTTAAAGAAGAAGAAAAGAAAAAAACAGAAATATAGCTGCAAAATTCGAAATAACCATAAATTAGTATATTAGATTCCTACCAACAATAACAATAACATCGATCCTAACTTCTTGTAGTTGCAAGATACATAAATGTGGCATATGTCTCAAACTACGAAACAAAACAATTCGGGTGTATATTTTATTTGAGTTATTGGACTATAATATGCTTTATAATAAAGAAGCTCTTCCCATTTGATCCACAAGTCCATGTATAAACTATTTGTTTAATTAATAGTGAGATTAGCTTCTAAGATTTCCAATTTACGCATAAATAATATATATATACACACACAGAGATAGCCTGATGTATGGTTGTGGTGGTGGTGGTGGCCATGACTTTGAGCAATGTTGAATGACATCATATACATCATCATCATGTTACATACTTGCATCATATGGTACATATATTCATATATTCATATACATATGGTATATATATATATTCACATTACACCAACTTTATAAGCATATATATGTTTCAATTTTTAGCAACTAGCATTTAAGATTTTTATACAACAGTATAGTAAAAGTAATCGAATATGAAAAGAAAAACAATTTTCTTGTATTAGTGAATCATATAACCATATATATATTGTGACTCGTATCAACAACTAGTCCGAAGGGAGCATGGTACATAGGTTTAGTTACGTTCTCCACCAATACCTGTGACTTTTCTAATCATATATTACGATACTGTAATTTTTAGCGTATATTTGTTTTTATATATAATCATGACAAACCAAACAAAAACAAAATAAAAATAAAACAACAAGAAGGGAAAAAATAATAAAATAATCGGGCCGCACATCTCAACGGCTTGTGGTGGGTCCACGTGGCCCCTTAAGATCCGTTGAAAGGGATAGTGATGACGTCAAAGTTGACGTCAAAGAGCTCTCATCCCACCAATGATAAGGCTCCTTGGCTTTGCAGTCTCGTCTTCGGGAACAAAAGTCAACCTCCTTAAGCTACACCCTCACACATATTATAAATTCTCCCACTCTCTAAAGGGTCCACACGTCAAAACACAAAAAACAAATAAAGCAAATGAAGGAAAGAAAGAAACAGTAATTATTTTTAATTTAAATTCGCAGATTTCATTCCATATCTTACGGTCCACATCATTATATTTTTAAAAACCTAATCTTAATCTGTATTATTATTATTCTTATCCATATTTCCTTAATATATGCTCTAATAATACGATCACAAACGCGTTTAAACCCGAGATAATTACGGACTAAATAACAACAAATTCAGACAAAACAAAACAATCTGAAGACTCCGACTCCCATAAATAGAAGAAAAAAACATATACTGCCAACATTAACACTTGGAGTTTACTACTACTTCACGACAAATCAGTTTTTATATATATAAAACCAATTTAATTAAGACAAATCAGTGATTATAAAGTTAATGGTAGTGAGACGTTGGTTGGTGCTCTTGTTTATATATGAGTTGTAATTGTATATATGCACAATTATTCTATATTCAACCTGTAAATATTCTTTCTACATTCAAACCAATAAAATGTCAAATACTTAATTTTGTAAAGTATTCTGGACTGGTACATGATTTAGTTTCGCCGGTCAATAGAACGAAAAGATCAAAGGAAATAAATTAAGATTACTAGTACTATATAATTATTACTACTAGTACTAATTAGTAAGCTGAGATGCTATAATAAAGATACTTAATTGTGTAATTATATATATATATATATATATTTTTTTTTGTTTCAAAAAAATGCCTGGTGGTGGAACCAAGTCGGTGATTAGTTACAGCGTAATGACTTAAAACGACTTTCCAATTTAATCTGAGTCGGTAATGTGTAGATTACTATCTAATTATATTTGTGGCATGCATCATCTTCATACATATCAAATTATCACCATCTATGACAGGCTGGAATACTGAATGTATTTTAACTTTTTAATGTGTACACACAAATTATACAGCAATATTTTTTTATTATTCAGTATTATTCTTCTTGTTTTAAATCAATATCTACTAGTATAATCTAATAATTCTATATACATCACTTTACATGAAGCTCAAGAAAATCAATTAAACGATGAACGATCAATACAGAACACATATTTTATAAACTATTTTTTTTTTTGGTCTAAGACCAGAGTGTGCAATATAATAACGAGTGAAGACAATTATACAGTTAATTTGGTTGGAGAGATTAGGTGTTATGTGTCATAAAATTCATATAAAAATCCAAGAAAATTTTGGTCTGATGTACATAATTGTTCAAATAACAAGAAAAATGACATGCAAAATAATTATTTTACTATATAGTAAGAAAATTTACAGATAATTTGGACAAGTGGAGAGATCATCTCAGGCTACTTTTTTGTTGGGGTATAACTACTTTGTCTACTAGATAATAGATACATATATTAAACGCGATTGTGACGAATCTAGCTGCATTAAACTGAGTCACCGTGTCAACGCGCAAAAATACTCATCCAAACAGAGTAACATGATACAAAACGTTGTAATGACATTTGACAAAATCAGTTGTATTTTTATTATTTTCGTATTTGATTGGTCTACTTGCATCGGTATTTTACAAAAGAAAAGTAAAAGTCAATAACGAATTATGATTTATGAAATACTTTAGAATACACTTCCACACTTATGTATTTTCGATGATATATATATGTGACCTCATTTTTGTTTTGTATTTTGACGTCGATATTATATGACCTAATTCTATATGCTATACAAGAAGAAGTTAAGAGTAGTCCATTATATTTATATAGGTATTGCTCTATATAGTATATTCTACCGAGTTTGCAAATATATTGCAAAATCTTAACTTCGTGTGATATGTTTTTTTTTAAGTCAAGAACATTGTGACTTGGACTAGTCAATATTGTAATATATTCACCGACTTGGGAAAAATTGAGGTTAGTAGTTCAAACTTATATAGTTACTTCACGGATTTCGAGCAATCATATACGAATAATTGCATCACGTGTTATATTATTATATGAATTGCAAAAATTCACTACAAGTTTTGGTAATGATAGTTTTGGGATCATATAATTAAAAATGATAATTCATTATTTTTTTTGGTCTTTCTTCGGCTTCACTGGAAAGGCTAAAATAAACACCACATAAAAAGACCTCAACCTTTTTGAGTACTATAGGAAGAAGCGGTGCGGTGCTATCTAAACCTATTTAATAATTAATACTCATCTAATTATAAATTCTCTATTTAACATACACGAAAACGTATACTTACTTATATAAACGCATTACGAATTTTATCTCCCGACTTTATATATGGAGCCTATAAGATTATACGGATGATGATTCAATATATACACAACTATCAATATGAAACTTAGTATAAATACAGAAAAAGATGAGATTTCTTAGGGCTTTCTTTCTATAGGATTATATATATATATGATAAATCACAAATTAAAATAAAGAACAATTACGGGACCACTCATCAAAAGTTACAACTTATGTATATAACCCTTTTCTAGTGAATATTATTGTTTTCAACACGTTTTTTTGTTTCATATGTATTTTTCTTTCCACGTCTTCTTTTTCCCCACAGTATTTTTTTTTGTATTTTGAACCACCTAATTAGATATAGCACTGAAAACAATGAACATATAATCAATATTGTGATTAGATTAGGTTAAATATAATTTATTGTTAGTTAGCTATGGAGACTTTTTCAACTTCAAATTCCAAAAAACAATTTTGTAAGAATAATTTTAAATCTGCACTGTTTTGTTTAAATGTACGAGAACTCTTTTAAAGTTATATGTTTATACATATATAAAAAATAACAATAATAATGGAATTGTTGTCTATGTGAAACTTGTTCAACAATTCAGGAAGTTGCTTGGAGCCTACGTATCTTTCTAAATCACCAAAAAAGAAGGAAAAAAGAAGAAGGCAAAAAAAAAAACAAAAATAATAATAAATAGTTTTTATCTTTTAGTTAATTACAAAAACAAAGCTCTCCCCTTCCAGTTTCTCTATTTAAAAGCCATTTTTTCCACCCTTTCAATAATTTTATTTCTCTGCCTTTAACTGCCTAAAAGATTCTCTCCACAGCTAAGCAGCTTTCTACAAATTTCTTCATCTTCTTCTTGTGTCTCTCTCTTTATCTTTATCTTTCTAAACAGGCATATATCACTCTGATCTTACAAAAACATTAAAATTTCTGGGTTTCTCTGATCTTATAATATTCTTGTTCTTGATTCTTTAAAGTCGAATACACATATTACTGTTATATACAAAGTGATCATCATGGCGGTTGTGGTGGAAGAAGGCGTGGTGTTGAATCATGGTGGTGAAGAGCTTGTTGATTTGCCACCTGGTTTCAGGTTTCATCCAACAGATGAAGAGATCATTACATACTACCTCAAGGAGAAGGTTTTAAACAGCCGGTTCACGGCTGTAGCCATGGGTGAAGCTGATCTCAACAAGTGCGAGCCTTGGGATTTGCCAAGTAAGTCGTACTACTTTTAATATTTTCAAAACACAAAAGACGAAATATGAATTTCTATTCTTGTTTGACCATATCCAAGTGTACACACAAAAGGCTATATAGCTTCTTGATTAAGATTTATCAAATTCTTGAAGGCTAGCTAGCTGGCTTGTTTGTTTCTTGATCCAATTTTTCAAAACTTCAAAGCTAAACAAATTTCAATCTTCTTTGACTATTATCAAACACAAAAAGGCTTCTTGATCAAGATTCTGACGATTCTTGTTTTTCTTCTTTTGGTTGATATAGAGAGGGCAAAGATGGGGGAGAAAGAGTTCTACTTCTTCTGTCAAAGGGACAGGAAGTATCCTACCGGGATGAGGACAAACCGTGCCACCGAGTCCGGTTATTGGAAAGCGACCGGCAAGGACAAGGAGATCTTCAAAGGCAAAGGTTGTCTCGTCGGGATGAAGAAAACACTTGTGTTTTATAGAGGAAGAGCTCCAAGAGGTGAAAAGACTAATTGGGTCATGCATGAATATCGTCTTGAAGGCAAATATTCGTATCACAATCTCCCCAAATCTGCAAGGGTTAGTTTATTCTTGACAATCCCATTTATATATTCTTAGTGTTCTAAGATTTTATTGAATTATTATTCTTAGTTTTCTTAAACCAAAAGTGTGTGAAATTTGGTGGAAAATATAAGTCCTTTTCAAAAGAGTTTGATTTCGTTTTCATATATCCCATTCAAGATTGAATCCCGAACTCAAAAAAATGTAAATAAAAGATCTAATCAATATATACTTTTGTTTTTTTATGATCTTGATTACAGGACGAATGGGTCGTGTGTAGGGTTTTTCACAAGAATAATCCTTCTACTACAAGCCAACCAATGACGAGAATACCCATTGAAGATCTCACGAGGATGGATTCTCTAGACAACATTGATCATCTCCTAGACTTCTCATCTCTTCCTCCTCTCATAGATCCGAGTTTCACGGGTCAAACCGAACAAGCCAACTTCAAACCCATCAACCCTCCAACTTACAATAATATCTCATCATCACCAATCCAACCCCATCATTTCAATTCGTACCAATCAATCTTTAACCACCAAGGTTTTGGTTCTGCTTCTGGCTCGGGCTCTACGTACAACAACGATATGATCAAGATGGAGCAATCACTTGTTAGTGTATCTCAAGAAACATGCCTAAGCTCAGATGTGAACGCGACCACGGCAGCAACCATGGAGGTGTCTTCGGGTCCGGTAATGAAACAAGAGATGGGGATGATGGGAATGGTGAATGGTAGCAAGTCATATGAAGATCTATGTGACTTGAGGGGGATCTTATGGGACTACTAATTAATTATTTAACTTTGGTGAAAGAGTATATTGGTTGGGATTTAAATCATGTAGTTAATACATATATTATACGTATATTAGGATTTACTAGAGGATTAATCCTAGTTATTTTCACTTCATTGATATTATTTAATTAGTTGATTGTTTAATTAGTTTATAATAGTGTGTGAAAAAGGGAAAAAAAAAGAAAGGATTGTGGTAATTTGGGATTTTAGTGCATGTTATATCTCAATGTAAACTGTGTTTGTATACGTATAATTAGTCTGATCAGATGGTTTCTTCTGATAGAGTATTAATTATTAAGATTTACTATATTCATATGGATATTCGATATACTCATACAAGTTGGATTACACTTCTATAAAATATGGTTTCACATTTATAATCCAAACTCAAGAAGAAACGTTCCCATTAAAAAAAAAAAAACAGAAGCAAATGATAATGATTACGTGAATGTCATGTGTATTGTTTTTACGGATTAAAAACTACAATATAAACATCATTTTGCATTCGGATAATAAAATAAGTACGCCACTGATGTTAATAAATAGCTTTACTAGTCGTATCATTGGTAAATCACTCAATAATCAACCTAATGTTTACAACAATAAAAAAAACTAATCACCCTAATTTTTTGACAAACTATTGTTAATTTACTTTTTTATCTTTTTTTTTTTTTTAAAACAAACAAAATTCAAAAATGAAAATAGATGGAATCTATATCAAAGCTCAGAGAGAGGAAAAAAAAACAGCTCATGAAGCATGTGAATGTTCCCCGAATCTGGGCAGCATATTAGCCTTTTCATATGCTCAATAATTTAGATATATTAGTATGAATTTTGTGACACATTATAGTATTAATGTATTTCATTTAGTATAAACAAACAAAAACATTCAACTAAGAACAGTGATTAATGAATGGTTTCTTGCAAGAATACAATACCAGATCCCTAAATCTTATGTCTTAAGGAACTTGGTTATTACATCAATGATCAATCACATTACGTTTTCCTTCTTAAATATTTTTTTAATAATTTGAAAGTTTTTAAGTACGTTTCAATGTTTCATAGTATTATTCAGTTTTTTTTTTTCCAGCACTTGTCAATTTTTAATATCCGTATTAGCACCGTAAGTAACTACATAACATAATACTATATATGTATATTATAATATCTTAAAAGGAATTTTATTTTTTTCATCGGGACCAAAGCACAAAGCTTGTCTTTACATAGAATAAGATAATGGCTGCAGATCTGTGTTTTAAGATTTGGCAGCAGATCTGTCTTTTTGGTTGAATGTACTATATATATTATATTCTTTGTTTTGAATTCTTGTATACATATTTTTATATACATATACATAAAACGACAAAGTTATATACATTTTAAAAGAAAAATGCACCGATTTGAAAAACACCAAAAGGAATAACATCTTAGTAAGCTGTATTCATAAAAAGAAGCATCATGCAAAAAATGTTGATATATATATAAACAAAATGCCATGCAATGCAGTTACATAGTTTACAAATTGAATACTCTTTTGATTTTATAAGATTTAATTTCTCTTATCCACTTATTACAATAAAGTTTCAAACGTTTCATATAAAGTTAGATAAAATCATCTAAAGGACTAATAAATGAAATAAACAAAAGAAAAAGGTTAGTTAACCGTACGTAAATAAATGATGTCTCTGATTCAATGTACCATATAATATATGATGATGATGATGATGATTTGAAAATAAGCGTGTGAGTCTCTTCCACCTCAAATTCAGGACTCAAATCTGGTAATTGTTATTTTTGTTGAATTTTTTTGGACTTGAAAATTTAATCGTACAACTTTATTTTGGTTTTGTAAACTTATCATTGCTTACAAATTACAATCGTTACAAGTTAGACAATATATATCTTCCTCCATATTTATACACATTTAATTTTCTTCATATCTCCATTATATAGAAGTTGGTCCATGCATGTCTGTCGTCCTATGTTATTCTTTTTATGAATGTTTTATCATGTGAGGAATCGATATATAGAAATGTATAAAATACTGATTTTAGAAAGTAATGAAAAAAGAAAAGAAAAAGAAAGAAAATGCATGAATGAGAGGATTTATTATTATAATGAGCATAGCAACAAAACTTTCCATTAAAAGCGAAGCTTTTCTTTTTGTAGATCGATACTTGCAGCAAACCTAAACCCTTCTACCCTTTTCTTTTTTTATCGGTTTCTAGATGATTAATGATTATACCTTATAATAAATACATTAATACTAGCCCTGGGCAAAAAGCCCGTACCCGAATCCCATACCCGAACCCGGCCCGTTAGGCCCGTACCGAACCCGAACCCGATTAAGGAGGTTACCCGATCGGGTTTTGGTTTTGAAAAAATCCGGGTTCGGTTCTGGTTCGGGTAAACCCGAAGACCCGAAAACCCGATTGTCAAGATTGTAAACCCGATTTCATTCCTTCGTAACTTTGTTGATCGATTTCATTGCCCAGAACTTTGATATACTCGAATCGATTTGAATATTTTCATACCAAGAAAGATCATAATTTTGTAGTTAGCGAGATCTATGTCTCTCTCTCCCGTACGTCTCTCTCTCTAGCGTTATGTTTATTGTTTAAGAAGAAGGAGTACTCCACAGTCGACATCTTATTTTACTTCTTTTTTTTTTGGCTAATAACAATGGTTTATGTGGGGATTAATATGTTTGAATTCAGTGTTAATTGTTTTGTTTTTTGATTGAGTTCCATTGATGACGTAGCTCGTCGAATTCTTTTGTTTGGTCTGCGATTGATTTACTTGGATAAACACAGTAACTCTCTTTTCCGTTGCTGAGTTTTCTCTGTCTTCTCTCATATATAGATTGCTTGTGCCTCAAAATATTTTCATTTATAATAATAATACATTACGATATTTCAAATTTACATAAATATTTACAGAGTAGTGATCTATGTCTTTCGACAGTTTTTGTTGGTTCACTTGGGTAAATAAACAAACCAAACAGAATCTAAAAGCCGACCACAACACAAGAGCCATCAAAGGCTCTTTTGTCCAGGCATATAGCTTGGAAAGAAGCTTTATTTACAGTTTCTTCAGCAAATATTCTTGAAGGCATAGCTTTAGATAATATATATTAAGAGCAGTGGCTATGTCTGCGACCACAAGAGATCCATCTATTTACAGAGTTCGTGACTTTGCCCTCATGACATTGTTGATGTGATTTTGATTAGCCGTGTGTCTCTTTCGTGTTCCCCATCTTTGTATAGTCTTAACACAGAGATTAATATACGCCTTGGAAACCAAGTAGAGAGATATTAAATATGAATATTTAGAGGATAACTTGTTTCAGGAAATAAATAATTTGCCATGTTTATTTTGAGCGTGAAGTGTTGAGCATGTGTTGAGACTTATGCATTCTAAGCTCATTGTGTTCTAGCTTTAGTTTCTTAGATTCTTAGTTTTATAGTTTTTGGTCACTAGTTTTAGTGAATGGAACTTTGAATTCAGTGTAAGTATTGAAATGTGTGCTCTTATATAATGGAATCGTGTGTTCTTGGTATTGAAGCGTGTATTATTATTCTTGGTATTGAAGCGTGTGTTACATTATAATTTTTTTTATTTGCTTCTATTTGGATGATAATTCTGGTGAGATTACATTATAATTTTTTTTTAAAGAAAAAATTATTGGTTACTATGGTTATAAGAACCCGAAACAAAACCGAATCCGAACCCGAAAAGCCCGATCCGAACCCGAACCCGCCCGAAAGTATATATATACCCGAATGGGCTTTAAAGTCTAAACCCAAAAACCCGAAAACCCGAAAAACCCGGCCCGAGCCCGAACGGGCCCCCGAACGCCCAGAGCTAATTAATACTACTGTAATCGGTGTAAGCAAATCCGTAATTTTCCTAGACATATTATAATAAAAAAATATATACATTGAATGATATTTTCCGAACGAAATCTGAATTATGTTGGTTCATAACAAATTATAAAATTACGAAATTGTATAACAACAATGATATATAATCATTTTTAACTTTGTCGCTTAGGCTTTCACCTTTGTAGTGGGATCAGGTTTAGAAAATAAACAGCTATGCAAATAGCCCAATGGTTTGATAAAAGAAGGCCTAACACTAAAGTGAAATGGGCTTTTAGTTCATTAAGTTTTCTTTTAAAACGTTTTAGTTTTAATCTTTAGCAAGAAGAAGACAAATAGTTTTTAACAAAACAAATTAAAAGTAGGAAAAACAAAAAGTTAATAAAGCAAGAGAGATTAAAAATGATTAATCAAAGGCGTTAATTGCTGTGAGGAGTTATAGCAGCAAAGCAAAACGACTACGTAAAAAAGAAGACTAGGAGGAGGCCTTGGGGTTAGCAAAATAATACGATAAAGTAGTAACCAAAACACTACAATTTGAAATCTGAATTATTGATTTCCCTTTAGTTGAGTCTGGAAAAAGTTGATTTTGATTGATCAAAAACATTAGCCGGTAAGCACTATTGAAAATGTCAATTAATCACATTTCTACTTTATGTATAAATTTTACTTCCTCTAAATCTTTTTCTTTGTTTCCGTATTTGTTTACACATTCACTCTAATACTTTGATGTTATGGAAACTCTATATATGTAATTTTAGATAATTAAACCCCAAAATGTCATGATAACTATATTGAGAAAACCATTAGCGATGAATGATTCCCATTGATAGAAAAAGATGAAGAAGAAAACAAGAAAAATCACTGAGTGGATTAACCACTACACCAGAACTATAGAGAATATTTTTGTAGAAAATAATAATAATAATATAAACAAGTAATTCAAAATAAAAAGAAAAGAAGAGGATTAGGATAATAATAATGGGTTAATAATTGGCCAATCTCAGTTCATTACATAAGTCATAGATAGGCGTCGTCTCTCTTCTTTTCAAAATAGACAGAAAGAAAGAAAGAAAGAAAAAGGTTAATAAAGAAAGAAGTGCGCTCTTTGCTGCTTACTCTCTCCTCTGAGAGCCTCTCGCCGGTTTTCCAAACACTAAAAAGCTTTGATACATCAGAACCCAGATTGTCATTTTCCAGTTTGAAGGTGTGTGTTATATTCCAATCTTTTTCAAATTTGTTATCCTTTCTGTTTAGTCCTCTGCTTTCACCGACACTTGTTGATTTATCTTCCTCAGAAGTCTCTCAATGGTGTTTGTTCATTTTGGTTTCTCTTTTTCCTGTAATGATTTACCTTATTCTTGATGGCTGCCTCTAATTTCTTTTTTCCTATCCAATAAAATTGCAGTTGTTTTTCAGTATGACATTTTGAGCTCAAAAACAGCTGTTATGAAGTTTAGTTTTTTCGTCTTAAGTTCTATTTATGGCGTCAGTTACATCAATTTGCTTGTCTTTTTACTCCAATTTGTTATTACTGCGGTTATACTCGTTGCAGAGATGGCTGGGTGCTTGATAAGAGCTTAGCCACATATCCTTGTTCAGCTACAAATGTGTTCTTTAATTCTTAGTATTTAAAAATTAAACTCCGGGATTTGGCTTCATAATCAAGAATTTTATTCATTTACTATATAAGTAAAGTAAAGATTATTACAATCATTGATTGACTCAGCTTTCCACAGTTGTTATAAGTTACAAAAGGAGTTTGGTTTTATCTGATATCCTTCTTTATGTACAACTCTCTTCCTTTTGGCAGTATTGTTTGTGAACTTTGCCGGCAGTGAGAATCTAACAGAGCTCAAAACGGGTGCACTCTGTTGTATTGTGGCCTCAAGGCCACTGGTTACTATCAAATCATCACCATCCCGCAGGGGAAGGGATATTCCTTCATTGAGTCAAGATGATACCCTGCAATGGCGGACTAATTTCAGCTTCTCACCTGCTGGATATACTAGAGACGGTTTGGAAGATAATATGAGCGATGAGGGTCACGGTTTTGAATTGTACTCAAGCACCACCAGACAGAGAAAAAGTCTGGAGTTCAGATTTCAGCAGTCGCCAAGATGGGCTTCAACATCGTCTGCTTCTGGTGGGAATGAACAGAAACCCTGCATTGTTAATAGCGTACCAACAAGACCAACTAGCTCAAATCCTCAATGCTTGAAAGAGGTAAGTTAGTTTTCTTTACATTTCCAATATTATTCATGATTTCATCTTTGGCTGAACCTTGTAGCTCTTGCTATGACTGTGTGTCTTAGGAGAATGGTTTTGATAGAGAAAGTACAGCCATCTCAACGAGTTTTAGGTCTTTGCTGTCTCTCTCTGAGTCGTCTGCCCCTTGGGAGACTCCAAGCAAGCAGCCTTTCAACCTTACTCACTGCTCTTACTCTCAAGTCTTCTGCAACCCGGTTTCAGATATAGAGAATCCTGAACCTGATAATAACCAAGACGACTCATCCACAAATCCTGACTCCAGTCTTCTGATGTCCATGAGAAACCATCAAGGCTCAGCGGTAGATGAAGCATCATCAAACTCAAATAGCAATGACATGTTGTTGGATGTAGAAAGATCCAATCAAACAGAAGTCGAAAACCCAAAATCCAACGAACCAGATTCACCAACACAAGATAGATGCGGGGTTTGCAAGAAGCTTTTATCTCAGAAATCTCCATGGTGCCCATACAAGATACTGAGATCCAGAGACATGCCAGCAGCTGGTGTTTTCCCCTGCCACCACGTCTACCATGTTGAATGTCTAGATAAAGTGACTCCAACGGCTCAAACCCGAGACCCACTTTGTCCTGTTTGCTCAAACACCATCGGAACAATGGAGCAGCCGCTGATAGCCCCTGAAACATTGCAAATGGCCCTGAGATCTCTAAGAAGAAGCCACACAGCTCTAAGGTCAGAGACAGTAACGCCAACTTGCAACAACAACAATCAAAGAAGACACATTAAGAGAAGAAGTCAGAGATGGGAAAAAATCAGCTGCTGTCTGAATATAAGCTTCTTATCTTCCTAGAATCCAACATGACTTGATTTTATTAGGTTCTTCTATATAACTCTTTACTTGCATCTAATCGTTGTTTTAACCTCTGAGAGTGTTTAGGAAACTATAAACAGAAGCAATAGACTTTGTACTCTGTATTGCAGGCTACAAAGAATTACAAATTACAAGTTAATTAGGAACAACAAGTATTTGTAATCATCTGGCTGGTAAGAACAAAACGGTGGGAAAAAAGAAAAAAAAATAAAACATTTCTGAAATCGAGATTGAAAGAAACAGCAATGAAGAAGTTTTGAAAACTTAATATACCAGAATCCACAGATTCGGATCATCAATGGGACGGACCAAAAACAAAACAAAAAAAGAGAAGAAGAAACCTTGAAATCAAATCTAAAACTTTCAAAAACACATATGAATTATTGGGGTGTTGTTAAAGCTCGCATTAGCCATCACAGCGCCGAGTAAATCGTACGCTCAGGCAGCAAGCAGTCTTCATCGCAGAAAACAAAGGGCAAATAACAATTAGGCAATTCGAAGCTAACCCGTAACCGGAGCAGCCGACCATACCTTCCAAAAGGAAGGATACTGGGGTTGCTCTTTGGCCGGAGAAGATCATAAACCCTAACGATTAACCCTTTTTCTCAGCTCAGATAAGATCAAGTAGTTTTGAAGTTCATAGTAGCGTAGTTGCTCGACTTTTATAATGCTTTTGGTCAAAACCCTAATCCCTTAAATTACAGAACTGTCCTCGTATAAAGATATTTATAACAAAACAGAGCCAAAACTGTTCCAATTATTATTAAGAAACCTCACAACTCCTGAATCAACAAAAATTGATCCTTGTATTTATAAAATAGAAGTATTTACACCAAGAACGAAGCTCCCACATTGACTGACATACAAAAAAAAAATGATGGAAAAGAAAAAGAACAAAAGAGAGAGCTTTGCTGAGTGTGTTTTACAGAGGAGAAGTTGTAGACTTTTGCATTTTGTTATTCTTTTGTGCCTGTGGTGGCTGAGACGAATGGACTGCTGCTCGGTATGAAGATGAAGCGAGCTGTGCCAATGCCGGTACTGTACCACCTGCAAACATTCCACCAAAGGAAGATGCAGCTTTCAAAATTATTGACAAAAACCAAGATAACATCATATTGAAAAACGAGCTTTATTCTTCCCGTGATTGAGATTGATCAAAAGTAGTGAATGAGGAGGAGAAGAAGATCTCAAACCTGCTAGGCCAGCACAGGCTGATGAAAGAACTATGACAGGTGGTGCCTGCATCAATACAGAAATGAAGAAACATCAATTGACTAAACGATTTACTGGTCTCTTTCGAAAAGAAGAGAGCATAAAATTTTCTGTATCTTTGTTGATAACTTACCCCAACAAGAAAATGTAACCACATGGGTCCTTTTATCCACTTGCGTACAATTGGCATTGCTGTTTGCATCAACAAGAGCATTAAAATGAGTTACAAATAGATAGATTCAAACTCTTTCAAGCAAGCTTTAAATCTAACTGCTACCAATCTTAACTAAAACATATCTAGAAAACTAATACTGATAAAAGAATGTCGACTGTTACAACATAATCAAGACAACCGGGAATCAAATGCACTCAGGACAGACTAGGAAAACTATGATAGCTTTTGAGACATTCTAACACACTGCCAAAACTCTTTGTTTCTTCAAGTCATACAAGAATCATAACTTGCGCAGTTGGTTACATAGGCAGACACAATCACCAAGAGAAGAACAAAACTTCAGAGAATTAAACGCAATAATCACAAGAATATAACAACTGAGATAACAATCAATGAGAGATTAAAGTCAGAGAACTCTCGTACCATGGTTAAATCCAATAAATGCACTTGCAGTACCACCAACAGCTGATCCAATCTAAAAACATAAAAAGTAGAGCTTTAAAGCTAAAAGATTTGAAATTGTCTTCAAGAGAATCAAACTTCTTGAAAGAACCTTACCATAGAAAAGCTATCCCTGATGAACGGAGCCACGGTCCATTCACTGGTTTCCTGAAATCAATCAACTTCTAATTTAGAAAAAGAACTAACTTTGCTTTGTTTAAAAAGACCAAAACAAAGAAAAATCAAACCTTTTCACTCTGCAGTAGCAATCTGTATATGAAAAAAAAAAAAAAACATGCTAGATGCGGAGAAAATACCAAATTTTTCGTAAGAGGGCCTGCGCAATGATGGCATCTGATTTCGATCTCATGCCCAGAATCATTCATTTTCTTCAAAAAAGAAACAGAGCTCGAGAAACCCAAATCGGAAATTTTGTTTGTTTCTTCTCTTCTGTGTTTTGGGTCGTAGGGTTTATACTCTCGTCACTATTTACTTGTTCCTCAGTTCGTCAACCGATCACCTGCGGCTACAGCTTCATATCAATAGGATCTAATCAGTCGACACGTCATCTTAAACAAACCGAGCACGTACCGGTGTCCAACCTTGATCTGTGGAGAAATTTCAAATTAGATAAAGAATCTTTTGGACCGGTCACAGAACCGGTTTATTCTGTTCCATCTATTTTTAGGTGAAAGGTGTTAAGTTTTTTTGAGCTTATCCAAAGTTCTTTTCTTTTAATCAATGGGGAATCTTACTTCTCCATGTTCCCAAAGGGTTATAAACAACTTTAGAAATAAATGTATTGTAAACGAATATAGAAGAAAGTAAACGAACAAAAGAATGTATAAACTGAAAAGTAAGAAAAACAAGAATGGATACTACCAACTACTTGCAACTAGACGATCAATCTTTTTATAAGAATGGTACGAGAGATGTCGAACATAGGCAAACCAGTGGCGGTGCCATCGTCTCTTTTATTTATTAATCAAAAAGCACAAAACTGCTACATTTGCTGCTTTCGGTTGGATGCAGACAACACAGTCATTGTGGTGAACACAAAAACTCTCAGAGATTCTCCTAAAGTCTTTTGTTGTTGTGCTTATAAGAATCCACACAGTTCACTTAAATATCCATAAAAATCACATATAAAAAACGAGACTAATAAAAGTGGAAAGACACAGACCCGAATAGTCTTTTTTTTTTTATGGGGGGTTTGGGTTGAGATGAACAAAAAAACGATTCTTGAGTTGAGAATGCGACTCACCAAGCTTTCTTTAGTTTTAGATTCTCATATTCTCATTCTCTGGAATCTCATGAACCCACTTTTACTCTCCATTTTCTCTCCAAAAGAATATAATTCCGCGGTCATTTCCCGCTTCTTCTTGATTTATGTATCCAATCCTCTCTTGTTCGATTGAGCGAATCACAATCCCACGATGCAGCCCATGTGTTGAATTATGCTACCTATGGAAGATCAAACAGTTTAAAGTTAGTAAACAAGAACAAGAATCTGTCAAAGGGAAATGAACGTACAAGGAAGAACATTTGGTCTGTATCACTCTTTTTTTCTTTCAACGAGCAAAGCAAAGAAACAGGGGAAAGACTAACTTAGCAAGCACAAAGTAGTATAACATAGGTAATCACAATTTAACAATTATAAAATAGGCGATAACATATCGTAAAAAGAGTTAAGCTCTAGTTCTGCAAAAACACATGGCATCTGATATCATTAGCAGATATCATCAGCTCAAAACCTGGAACAGGCCCTGCTACAAAAAGCATACTCAAAATTTGATATTTTCTGAAACTACATTTGATATAAAACAGAGAATTATCTATAAATATCTAGTAGAAGTAAAATTTAATCAAAAGAGTTCAACACAGATTTTGCTTGGTTTAATTTGCTTATGATGGTATTCTAATCTTCATCAAATAGACTTTTAAACCTTGCAGCACATAATGTGATTATGTGAAACCTCTCTTTGTGGAAGCATATTCCCACCCACATGCCAATCAACTATTTTGGCAATATGCTCAAATACTTTTAACTGAAGGTTATGAAAGGTTCTTCACCAAACAGAATAAAGTGTTAATGAGAAATCAGAACCATGAGATTTCACCAAAAAATAAAGATTGTAAAAAATGCAAAGATATCATTCAAGGAACATAAGATTTGTTTTTTTTTTTGACATTTTCCTTTTAAACAGTAGACCATATTTCTACCTAGTTTTATTTCTTTGTAAGGCATCTATCAAACTCATTAAGATATGTGAGACTCTATACTAGATAGTGGATATATTCTCAATTGCACATAGAGAAGCCATAATTTTAAGCACTTGGTAATCACAAACTTCTATATTTATATATCTTTATCTATGAACTTATTCTATATAGCTGTATATCATATAGGAAAGTATCTTTATACTTAATCAGGCAGGAGAAATATAATTGTGAAGTCAAAATCAAAATCAGATCCAACACCACAATATATGATCGATGATGGAATTTAGAGCCGTAGTCATCAGTAAAGTAGATTCAGGGAAGTACACTGTCAGAAAGCAGCCAAAAATTAGATGCATATATGCTTCACGAACTTTTACATATATACATGTAATATATGTACATATGCACACATAGACACACAAACAATACATACTAATATGCACCGAAGATATGTTATAGTGCATTTAGAATTAGACATGAACAGTTTCACACACTTAAATACGTACATGCATACACACATACATACATACATGATACATACATACATGCAAACATATATAACACATGCACGGATGGGCCAAATATATGTTTTGCCAATCAAAGAATGAAAGATATAGGTCCCCCACTAATATTGTACTGTTTAGGGAGAATAGGTACTAAACTTGCTGAAGGAGACAACATGAAATATTCTACATTCGCTTTCTCGATTATCTTTCAAGATTAAAACAATACAAATAAACTTTCATCCCCCTTGCTATCACATAAAATCATACAAATATCATCACTATACCCTCTTGAAACATGGCCAAATAAGCCATTGTTGATTTTGGTCAAATCTATCTTAAAGTTTCAATAGAAATTGTTTAGACTGAAGATGTATCTAGAGACTGAAAAAAAATGACAAGTAGGAACAAAAACAATACAGACAAGTGGAAAGCTTTGAGAATATACCTCAAGAGATAGATAGGTTAGAGCTGTGGACTTTGAAAAATTTGAGGAATAAGGAGAAAGAATGAATTCCCCTGCCCAAGTAGAAAAGTTGTCAAAAAGATTTGGAGAATAAGATACTTTCATATACCAGAATGGTGAAAGAATGCGCATATGATGCATTAATTATGGATCAATTCTGGTATCTAATGCAAGGCTTGAATTGCACTGAAAAGTTGTAGTCCAGAGGAATCAAAACATGAAAAATTAATGCAAGCACACAACCTACAGTTTATACGATAAGAACACAAATAACAAAGCAGCGATTGGACCAGTTATTCATATTCCATACCTTAGTGATCATCCTCTAGTTTGCCTTTTTTCCATTAAACTTTCTATATAAAGCAAAGTTGCAAAGACTTTTTACTCTTGAGACACCCGGCCTGGGAAGAAAGAGCATAAATAAGGAAAGCAGCAAAGACATCTTCCCAAGTTGGTGGAGTTGCAGACCATAGTGTATCTCTGAACTGAGAGCAGCAGGCTGCACTTAAAAACTAAGATTGTGTCAGGTAAAAGAAAAACATTTGGTCTTTACAATCATTATTAATGTCGTATTTCTAGGCTGATAAAATTTACATTTTTTATTTTGAAGACAGACTTATGTATTACCACAACCAGCACCAAGGAAAGAGCATCCTCTCTTCATCGAGAATGCCCATTACTTCTGAAAGGCATCCATTCCTTCGAGGAAATGGCACAGGAGATTCTGGACTCATCCTCTCAACCGATGCAAAGCCACGGCTAAAATGGACTCCAGATCTTCACGAACGATTTGTTGAAGCGGTCAACCAGCTTGGAGGAGGAGATAGTACGTTATATTATTAGCAAATGAACCATCTTTGACATTCAGGCTGTTAGACATGATGTATTAATATTTATACTTTTTTCTCTGCAGAAGCTACTCCTAAGACAATCATGAAAGTCATGGGTATTCCAGGCCTTACCTTATACCATCTCAAAAGTCATCTTCAGGTAATCTATCAACACGTTAAACAGATATGCCTAACCTCATCAGGTCTCTACACATATAACTCGTTGATGAATTGCCTTGGTAGAAAAACTGTTAACGAAAAACAAGAATGACGATATGTCAAGAAGTGAAAGATTTGTCATACTTGCTTTTGCTTTTACAAAGATTATTGATTACATGATTTGGCTACCAGAAATATAGGCTGAGCAAGAATCTTAATGGACAAGCTAGCAGCAGTTTAAACAAGACAAGTAAGCTTAGTTATTCATTACTTGGATACAAGAATATTTTTAATCTAAAGACTCATTTTCCTTTCTCCAAAATATATCTCTCAAGTAACTAAAGTCACCTGGTTTAGGTGTGATGACCATGGTAGAAGAAAACCTCCCTGAAGCAGACGAAGGTCACAGTGAGAGTTTAAGCATTGGACCACAGCCGAGCATGTAAGAATATGGTTATTTGATTACATTATTATAACGTATTGCATTTTCAGAATAAAATGACCAATAGTTGTGCACCCAGGAACTTACCCATAAGTGATGCGCTTCAAATGCAAATAGAAGTTCAGAGGAGGCTACACGAGCAGCTTGAGGTATCATAAACTGTACTCTGTGGATTTACTCTGTTTAAAGCAGCTATCAGTGTTAGTAACAACAGTGCTCAAGCATGTAGAAACACATAAATCTATAAAAAATCATTAGTATAGTGTATAATAGAGCATCAATAGAGGCTAGATCAACCATATAGAAAGAGAGAGAACAAAGCATTTAGTTACGATTTTATTAAAAATATTTTAAACTGAGCCAGGTACAGCGACATTTGCAGCTCAGGATAGAGGCTCAAGGAAAGTACCTGCAATCGATTCTGGAGAAAGCACAAGAGACTCTTGGAAGACAGAACCTAGGTGCAGCTGGGATTGAAGCAACAAAAGCTCAACTCTCAGAATTAGTATCTAAGGTGTCAGCAGAATATCCAGACTCTAGTTTCCTAGAAGCCCATCAACAGATGCAAACAACTTATCCACCCAACTCCTCCCTTGACAGTTGCCTAACCTCAAGTGAAGGAACACAGAAAGCCCCAAAGATGCGTGAGAACAGATTGGGACTAAGAACATATATCGGAGATTCAACTTCAGAGCAGAAAGAGGTAATGGAAGAACCATTCTTTCGTAGAATGGAGCTCACATGGGCAGAAGAAGAAAGCCTCAGAGAGAATAATAACAGGCCGTATCTTTCAACAATGGTTAACAACACAGAACCAAGAAACTCGTCTTCAAGAAGAAGCCCTGGAAGATTGTCAATGGGAGTGGGGTTACATGAACACAGAGAAGGGAGTGGCAACAACAGTGAGTATGCAGAAGAAAGATTCAGCGAGAATGGTGAAGATTGCAAGCTCGAAACACACACAGGAACAACGCTAGATCTTAACACACACGACGAAAACTATGGCACAACAACACGTCCGAAACAGTTTGATTTGAATGGTTTCAGCTGGAACTGAGAAGAGCCAAAGAGCTTAAAGACTGAAGCAGCGTCTTTATGATCACTCAGGAAGTGAAAAGCCATGGAGAACAAGCTTTTGATTTGCTTTGTTAGCCTTGAGAGATTCGTGTTAAATTGAATTATTAGTCGAACCAAACTATTTAAAACTTCACAATCTCCTTCAAAACAAATAGACTTTATTCCTTTTATCCAGTATTGCTGCATAGCTGATAAAAGGGCCTTCGTTTCATCCTCTAAAGGAGATGTAGCATGTCCTAAAACCGCAGATCCCCATCCATTAGAATCTCCTTACCCTAAACCCTAAACTATCTCTTACAATCCAACCACATTTAACTTAAGTTGTATCATAATCATATGCTTCGTCGTGGTTACATTTAAGAACATCACTTGTAAGATGAGTCCATGTCGCAACATTAGACAACCTTTCACTTGCATGAATCGGAAGAGGATGATGGATTTCGATTAATATATATATATATATATATATTGTTTTTTTTGTTTTTATCAAATTTCATTGAGACTGTTTTAGTAATTCTATAAATTGAAAGTAGTTTTTAAATTAGAAAAGAGGTTATTTTTCAAAAAAACTAAAACCAAGGCATATTTCCAAATTTATTCTATATTTATAAACTTATTGATATTGTTATCATGTTAGCTCAATAAATAATTATCTAACTTATAATATGGTTTGCTCTTTCTAATTGATGATATTATACAAAAATTATAGATATATTCTTAATTTTTAAATCTTCTGGGTATTTAAATTAAATTGACTCTTTTCTTTTCTATATTTGATATTTGAGGTATATTTACTTTTTTCTTTTCTTCGTTTAATTATAATTTAATTAGTTTACATATACTATTCTCCTCCGTTTTCTGATATTATCATTGATCCGACATATACTATATATATATATATATCAATCTCTGTGGGGCGTCATCCACATATTCGTCTTTAGCTTCAGTTTTATGAATGCCAGAGAAAGCCAGAACCTTCAAATCAATCGGGAAAGAAAAGGTTGGGTTTTTTTAAATATTTTGTCTACCCTCTTTTTTTTTTGTTTCTTTTGCTTTTATATATATGTGGAACATAATTATTTATTTTGCTTTTCTGTGATCTCTGATCTCCATGATTTCCTCTGCTTCTTACGAGCGCTCAAAGTGTTAGTCTGAGATTTCCTGATGTTATTCAAGTCGTGTCCAATTTTTGTTGAATGAAATCTTCCATTATTTAATTCAGAGTGTGAACCTTTAGCTTCTGTAACCTCGTTTGCGAGTTCTAATCTTTGTAATTGTGAAAAATCCATTAGTTTTTTTTTTGTGGTTTGTCCAACTTCTCTGATCTTCATTCATTTCATACAGAGCTTTCCTTAGGTTTTAGAAATATCCAGTTTTTTTCTTTCTTGTTTTTGTTGGGTGTGCATTTTGTTTAATCAAATTACCTCATCTTTCAGGCAGATTTAAGGAAGATTGGTTCGGATACCAAAATGTTGGACACTAACTCTGAAGATGCAATCAGCTTGCTTCCAGAAGAGGTTCTTGGCAAGATCTTGTCCTTAATTCCTACAAAACAGGCTGCTTCAACATCTGTTCTTTCTGAAAAGTGGAGAAATTTGTTTACACTGGTTCATAATAATGATTTTGATGATTCTGACTTGCTGCGACCCGAAGAGGGTAAAGAAGAGAGGGATGTGGTCCGGGAGAGCTTCAGGAATTTCGTGGACAGGACACTCGCTTTGCAATGCGGTTCGCCTATCAAGAAATTCTCTCTAAAATGCCACCTTCACTTAGACAGCGAGATGTCCTATGTGGGCCCCTGGATATCTAATGCCGTGGGGCGCGGTGTTCTGGAGCTGGACCTAAGTATACATACCCGCTATAAATTCGTTCAGGACTCTGAAACTGGCTGTTCTCGATGGCCCCAAGGTATGAAGCGCCGCGGTGATGTCTTTCTTCCTTCTGAGCTCTTCACGTGCAAGACGCTGGTCACACTTAGACTGGGGAAACATATTTTTCTTGGAGAGTTTCCTCTAGAACTGTCTCTTCCAGCGCTTAAGAGTCTCTTCATCGATTCTATCTGTTTCGCATATAAAGATCTGAGTGATGTGTTTTTTCCCGGCTGTCCAGTGCTAGAGGAGTTAGTCCTACGTTACGAGGACTATGTAATGTGGCCGTCCTACTAGCACATATCCAGCCGGACCATCAAGAGACTGTTAGTTCTTTATGATGATTCTGCATGTGTCTTTAAAAGTTATATGTCACTGGACGCCCCAAATCTACTCTTCCTGGACTACTGCCATTATCCCATGTCTGTGTATCCACATGTTAACTTGGCTTCTTTAGTCGAAGCTAGGTTGGATATCCAGTATAGTACAAACATGGACGATGTGCCGGATATTACGGGTCTCATTGTAGGGATAAGCAACGTCAAGACCCTGCATCTTTCTCCCGGTTCTGTTGATGTAAGTTTTCCCAAATTTGTTTTTTTTTTTTGTTTTTTGTTTCACTGCTACATTTAATGAGTTTGGACATTCTTGAAGTGTGCGTCTGTGTGTGTTTCAGCTGATTTTTCGGTGTGTTAAATATGGACTGCTTGGTCTAAAAATAAATAGAAAAGTTGGACTGCTTCTACCGGTGTTCAACAATCTGGTAAGCCTGTCTTTTGGGAGTAAGAATGAAACAGATTGGAAACTGCTGCCATATCTGATTGAGCAGTCTCCAAAGCTTGAATCTCTAACTATCCAGGTACATATATCATTCGCAAATTAAAACCAATGAAAGAGCATATATATATATATATATATATAAAGAGAGACAAACTTAGTGGTTGATCCTTTTGCATGCATTTTCTTGATTGATGCTTCTCCAGGGGCTGGATAGTTACACATGCGATTCGACCATGCATCTGTTCCAAGTGAAGGTGTTACGTGTTCTTGGTTATGGAGGAACTGCTAAAGAGTCGGAACACTTGAAGAAATTTATTGGGGAGTCGGAATGCCTTGAAGTGGTGCTGGTGGATGATGTCATGTGATTGCATACCAAAAGGGTTGTATTGTTGACGACGCTTCTTGGAATTTTCAGTTTCATATACAAGTGCAAGATCTTACCATAAATGAATTGTTATTAGATGTTGAGTGTATGCTGTTACAATAGATAGAATGAGATCATCTTTATCTAATCGACCCAAGCTTATTTATACACCTAAATCTCTGCTTCCCCCATCCCTCTTCTTCTCAACTCGCTGACGGGCCATAACAGCAGGACAGTTCTCATAAACCGCGATAATGGGCCTTCCTCTGGTGAGGCCCAGGTCCAACACCACACAAAAACACAAATCAAAAGCCTCTCTCCTCTCAGCACAACCTTTTGCCCCAATCGTCTATCTCGCCCAATTGCCATTAATTTGAGCCGTCAATGTCGAACTCGAGACTCGTTATCAACTCGTTCTGATTTTGCATATCAGTCCTGAACGATCCAATCATATAATTCATTCATCAACTGTTTGTTTACACATCATCTTCTTCCTCTCGCCCCACCTCTGAAAGCGAAACCCTATTTTTCTTTTTCAAAAAATCAGAGAAAAAAAAAACCCTAAATACTGTCAGAGCCTACTTCCCAGAAACCAAAATCCGACTTATTAACCTTTTCCTGGATAAGATCATCGGAGTCTCTTCTCTGGTTCGACTGTGATGGGTGCGAGCCGTAAACTACAAGGCGAGATAGATCGGGTGCTTAAGAAGGTTCAAGAAGGTGTTGATGTTTTCGACAGCATCTGGAACAAGGTAATGTTTTTCCTCTCCTTCCACAATTTTTCTTATATTATTGATTGTTTTATTTGTTTTTGTTCGATTGTGCATCGATGATATGATAATGCAGGAAGATGTATAGAATTGAATTTCTAGATTCGCGTGTTAGGAACTGTGTATCATTTCAGCTTTGATATAGAATTGAGTTCACTGATTTGGGATGCGATTGTTGCTTTATGCATTGGCCCTTAGTCGAAATTTGATTTGCTATTTTTTTTTGTTTGTTATTTATAACTTTTTGTTTTTTTGTTTTGTGAGGTAAATTTTCCAGTGGAACTCAATATCGAGCTCCGTTTGTTTTTTATGCAGTGGAATGTGAGCAGAATGTTTGTTTTCGAAGCAGAAAAGTTTTTTACTGGACAGAGGAAAAAACACGGTTTCGGACTTTTTTGGTGTTTCAGGTATATGATACAGACAATGTTAACCAGAAGGAAAAATTTGAGGCGGACTTGAAGAAGGAAATCAAGAAGTTGCAGCGCTACAGAGACCAGATCAAGACATGGATTCAGTCCAGTGAGATCAAAGATAAGAAAGTCAGTAGCCTTCTTCATCTTCTACTCCTTTTTTTTCTTTCAAATTGACTAATGAGTCGACATAGCTCCCTTGCATTCTCTTAAATTTCACCTGCAAACCATAATCGGTAGATTTGTTTAATTGTCTCTGTTTTCTAAATTCATTGGGATGATTTCAGTATTATCATATTATAACTAAAGCTTTCCTAACTTCTGATATTTTTTCATTTGAGTAAGGTTCTCTGCACCGGTGGTTTTGCCTGTTATACTTTTTCTTATCCCTGGTTTCATAGATGCTGAAATTAGCAGCTTCATCTCTATTATCACTTTGATATTCCTTATATGGTTTTCTGTTTTGAAGGAAACTTAATACCCATTTGTTTTATTAGACTGAACTGAGCAAAATGTCTGTCACTTATCTTAGGTCAGTGCATCCTATGAGCAATCCCTGGTTGATGCTCGGAAGCTTATTGAGAAAGAGATGGAGCGGTTTAAAATCTGTGAGAAAGAGACCAAGACAAAAGCCTTCTCTAAGGAAGGACTGGGTCAGCAACCTAAAACTGTAAGACTTCTCTTCGTTGAATTATTTACATATTCCCCTAACTAATAATATAAGATTGATGTGTTTGAGCTGCTAATAATTGCTAGGAAAGATCTGTTTAGTCGTTGCTTGTATTGTTCATGTGAATATGATAAAGAGAATTTCAAATGCATTGTTCAGATTGCCAATTATATAGCAAAATACTTGCGTTCAATTTTTTTTCAGAGCAGTATAGTGGAAGCTGTTTTTTCTCATGTTCATATGAGATTTTGGACAAGGATGTTTATATGAACAATTTTTTCTTCTAACACAGCGTTGAATTCCTATAAAAACATTCTGGTTTTGTGAAATCTGTTGGGAGTCTCTGGGTGGGTATATATATTAGCCAAAACTCTTTTTGGCATTCTGGCTATTGATTTTTTCAGCTTCATCTTATATAGGACCCAAAAGAGAAAGCAAAGTCAGAGACAAGGGATTGGTTGAACAATGTGGTGAGTTGTTTTGGCGTGTTCTTGCCTATTTACTGCTTCTTGACCCCTCCCTTAGCAGAAACGTCAAAGAAGACTAATGTTAATGGTGTTTTCGAGATTTGATTGATGTACCAGGGAAACTAGGTATTTTGGTCCTTATGGATCATCTTCAGTTAGTGCTGTAGCTGATGCATTACTTATTTTCTTGATTTTGATAGGTGAGTGAACTTGAGTCGCAGATTGATAGCTTTGAAGCTGAGTTGGAAGGACTGTCTGTCAAAAAAGGAAAGACGAGACCACCCAGATTGGTAAGATCTGAAAGATATGCATCGGTATGCAAATGCTGTAGTTTCTTTTCTCATTGTTAATCATTCCATTTGGCTTGTTTTCCCCTTTCAGACTCATCTTGAGACATCTATTACAAGGCACAAGGATCACATAATAAAGTTGGAACTGATCTTGAGGCTTCTGGACAATGATGAATTAAGTCCAGAACAAGTAAATGACGTCAAAGATTTTCTAGATGATTATGTGGAACGAAATCAGGTCTGTTTTATATTTGCTTTTTTTTTTTATGCTCTGGGCTCCCTACATTAAAATATGCTGATATTGTCCTTACTTTTGTTTACCTTTTCTTTATCTAGGATGATTTTGACGAATTCACTGATGTCGATGAGCTCTATATCACATTGCCACTAGATGAGGTGGAGGGTCTTGAAGATCTAGTTACTGCTGGCCCCCTTGTCAAGGTATAGGAAGTGCTGTATCTGTCTGGCTAAAAAAGTGCAAGGATTTCAGGAATCAATTTGGAGTTCATGACATTTCCACTGTAATTACCAGTCATTTAGCTTTAAATTTAGAACTAACTTGACTTACATTTTTCAGGGTACTCCTTTGAGCATGAAGAGTTCTTTGGCAGCGTCAGCATCTCAAGTACGGGTAAGTATTCATATATCTCTTTTTGCTTGGGAGGTTTTTTTTTTATGTTTCTCAATGTTTGCGTTGTTTCAGAGCATAAGTTTGCCAACTCATCAGCAGAGTACTTCTCAAGATAAAACAGAGGATACATCTTTACCGGATAGCAGTGCTGAGACGGTTCCGAAAACCCCTCCCCCAAAGAATGGCACAGGCCTTAACTCAGCACCATCAACACCTGTTGGGGGACGTCCAAGTTTTAACGTGCCTGCTAGTAATGTTTCAAATGCATCAGTTGCCTTGTCAACTTCTATTCCTGCTCAAACTTCCACAGAAAGCATGGGAAGTTTGTCTCCTGTGGCTGCCAAGGAAGAAGACACAACAACCTTGCTTTCTCGTAAACCACCCTCATCTGTTGTTGATGCCTCGATGAGGGGCAATGGTAGAGTTGGTATTCCCAACCAGCCCCAACCAAGCCAGCCTCCGTCTCCAAGTCCAGCTAACGGGTCTCGCATTAGTGCAACATCAGTTGCTGAAGTCGCAAAGAGAAATATAATGGGAGTTGAGAGCAACATCCAACCTCTAACTTCTCCACTGAGCAAAATGGTATTGCCACCAACTGTGAAGGGTAATGATGGAAGTGTCTCTGATAGTAACCCTGGTGATGTTGCGGCTAGTATTGGTAGAGCCTTTTCACCATCCATTGTATCTAGCTCGCAGTGGAGGCCTGGCAGTCCCTTTCAGAGTCAGAATGAAACGGTGCGTGTTTTGAAATTCGATTATAATCCAAACGATACATGGGACATTTGCACTATATTTAAGTTGGTAGTCTGAGCAGTATCATGGCTTTACTTAGTTTTTCTCGTATCCTAACCAAGCTATTATGAGATGTATGCATAGGGCATCCCATGGGATTGGTTAAGGTTTATTGTTGTGAGGTTTGTTAGTTGCTACTGTCTTCTTTTTCTATGTTAAATATGCACACGTTTTTGGCTTTTAGGTCCGTGGGAGAACTGAAATTGCACCCGATCAAAGAGAGAAATTTTTACAGAGATTACAGCAAGTTCAGCAAGGCCATGGCAACCTCTTAGGCATGCCTTCTCTATCTGGAGGAAACGAGAAGCAGTTTTCTTCACAACAGCAAAATCCTCTCTTACAGCAGGTAGCATATTTTATTGTGTCTGTATTTTGTGTACTTACCACTTACCAGGGCTTCAGCTTGTTTGTTTTGAGTTGTATGGACTAATCTCATGCTTAATATTTCTCAAAACATTCCATCAAAATAAGAGATCATCTTTCTCATCTGTTTGTCAGAGCTCGGCCATCTCTCCTCATGGAAGCTTGGGAATGGGAGTTCAGGCACCAGGTTTCAATGTCATGAACTCTGCCTCCTTACAGCAGCAGTCGAATGTCATGACTCAACAATTGGGTCAGCAGTCTTCTGTTGCAGGTAAACTAACCATTTCATTTATGATATGACTGTGGATAGACCCTATTTCTGGTTTTAGTAGCTAACATCTATGTTAAGTTGGTAACATACAATCTAAGATTTATATTATTTGATAACAATCATTCTTTTGTAAGTTAACCACTTTGTGAAAGAATTCTACACAGTGGCAGTTACTTAAATCTATAGTTGTTAGAGCTCAGTTTTTGGATTCGAGTTTTTAAAGTACAGATGAAAGATATCAGCAAAATAAGGGACCTGTTCCTGATGTTTGTGCAGATATAGACCATCCCAGAAATGATGATCAACTGCAGCAAAACATACCTGATGATTCAACTTCCATAACAGCGTCAAAAACAATTCCAAACGAGGATGATTCTAAAGTTCTATTTGATACCCCGGTAAGCATAAATATATCTGTGCTCACAATTACTAGTCGTTAGTATCTCATTGACATATATTTTCCATCAGATAGTTTTTTGACAAAAAAGTAACGTGAATAAAACTATTCTGTCTTTGTTGGTGTTGGTGAGTGTTTTGATGTCATTCCTCGCTTAAACTTCACATATGCAATTCAATAGTGAATGTGGTCTATGGATACACATAATAATAGCTGGATTTTATTTAACCAAGCAAATAATTAAGGGCGGCCTCTTATCCTACCTACTTTGTTTTTTCCTGGTTTATCTTCAGTCGGGAATGCCCAGCTACATGTTGGATCAAGTACAGGTATCTAGCGGTCCTGATTTCTCTCCTGGACAACCCATACAACCAGGTCAATCTTCAAATAGCCTGGGGGTCATTGGACGGAGAAGTAACTCTGAATTAGGAGCAATTGGTGACCCTTCAGCTTTAGGGCCAATGCATGATCAAATGCACAATCTCCAGATGCTTGAAGCTGCTTTCTATAAACGTCCTCAACCCGCAGATTCAGAACGTCCTAGACCCTATACTCCGGTATACTATTGTTCTGAATTCAACTTGATAATATCCGCTTAAATTTCATATTTTCCATATGATTTTGAACAGAGGAACCCAGCAATCACACCATCAACATTTCCCCAAACACAAGCACCAATCATAAACAACCCTTTGCTCTGGGAACGTTTAGGAAGTGACGCTTATGGGACGGATACTTTGTTCTTTGCGTTCTACTATCAGCAGGTACCAAAATCTTGATGCTCCGTTCCATGTTTAATTTATTTTATTTTTTCCCCTCAGCCTTACCGACTTTCTTTTTTCCTGGGTTTGTTTAGAACTCATATCAGCAATATCTAGCTGCAAAAGAGCTGAAGAAACAGTCGTGGAGATACCACAGAAAGTTCAACACTTGGTTTCAAAGACATAAAGAGCCAAAGATTGCAACTGATGAGTATGAACAAGGAGCTTATGTTTATTTCGATTTCCAAACCCCTAAAGACGAGAATCAAGAGGGAGGATGGTATGTTCTGATTCATGTTTTCTGATGATGATAGGCTGTTGTTGTCATTAGAGATGATAATGGTAATGCTTTCTCTCTTATGTCTGTGTAGGTGTCAGAGGATCAAAAACGAATTCACGTTTGAGTACAGTTATCTTGAAGATGAACTCGCCGTATAGAAATAGAGAGAGATATATATATATATGTATGTATATACTCTTGAGCAAGTGCTATTTCCTGCCTCTATTCCTAGTCTTCGTTGCAATAAAACTACAGTAGTTACTTTTTAGTTTTAAAGTTTGAATTCTTCGTTAATGGACGACTCAGCTAAAACGACCCAATGTGCATGTACCGAAGATTGTGCATCGTCGGTTTAATAAAATCGAAAGAAAAAAAAAAGAAAAAAAAGAGCAATGAGCCTATGACTTGTGGACTAATTGAGTGAATATAGAGCTGTTTTAACGGATCGGTGAAATATGGACATAACAAGCACGTGGGTGGTGTCGTCTACGGGATTTGACCTGAAGAACGGCGTCGTTTTGCGTGCCATTCCCTTAGACCCCAAGCAATTTCACTTTGCGTTTTGCTTACAAACACTTCTCAAAATGACCGACCAAAGAAAAAGATATGCATAGATTAAGGAACCTCATTCCTCATATCATATGACCTCTATAGATCCACATTTATTACAATCATTATTCTATACTGTATGAATTTTTTTTTGTTTTCCCACAGGTGGCCAAAAACAGAGTAAACCCAAAATGAAACAAATCACCACCACCGCTATCATCATCGTCCTCTATATCACCATCTCCACCGTATCTTTAAACTCCGGTGATGTCTCCGCCTTGGGAGTCAACTGGGGAACTATGGCAACTCACCAGCTCCCTCCAAAGACGGTGGTACAAATGATGAAAGACAACAACGTTAAGAAAGTGAAGCTTTTCGATGCCGACACAAACACCATGGTAGCTCTTGCTGGCACTGGCATCGAAGTTATGGTTGCAATCCCTAACGATCAGCTCAAAGCCATGGGTAGCTATAACAGAGCTAAAGATTGGGTTCGAAGAAACATCACTCGTTTCAACGACGACGTTAAAATCAAGTAACAACTTTGATTTCTTTTTCACCTTAATTATTCATCGGTTTTGGATACTAAACTTTTAGTTTCTTTGCAGATACGTCGCCGTTGGGAATGAGCCCTTTTTGACAGCTTACAATGGATCGTTCATAAACGTAACTTATCCAGCACTCTTCAACATCCAAAAAGCTTTAAACGAAGCCGGAGTTGGAGATTTCATCAAAGCCACCGTACCTTTAAACGCTGACGTCTACAATTCTCCACCGGATAATCCAGTTCCTTCCGCTGGAAGTTTCCGTCAAGACATCTTTGAAGAGATGAAACTCATTGTAAACTTTTTAGCTCATAACAAAGCTCCTTTCACTGTCAACATTTACCCTTTCTTAAGTCTTTACCTCAGCAGCGACTTCCCTTTCGACTACGCATTTTTTGATGGCCAAAACACTGTCAGTGATAATGGCGTTATCTACACAAACGTCTTTGATGCCAATTTTGATACACTCTTGGCTTCGCTGAGAGCATTGGGTCATGGAGACATGACTGTTATTGTCGGCGAAGTTGGTTGGCCAACGGATGGTGACAAGAACGCTAATATCCCAAACGCAGAACGGTTCTACACAGGTCTGCTTCCAAAGCTAGCAGGCAACAGAGGAACACCTATGCGTCCCGGTTACATCCAAGTTTATCTTTTCGGATTCATCGATGAAGATGCAAAGAGTATAGCTCCTGGAAACTTTGAACGTCACTGGGGGATATTCAAATTCGATGGCCAACCCAAGTTTCCGGCGGATTTGTCAGGGGAAGGTCAGAAAAAGATCCTGAACGGAGCTCAAAATGTTCAGTACTTTCAAAACCAGTGGTGTATGTTAAACCCTGATGCCCACACTTTTAGCAACAATACTAACCAGCTAGGGGATAACGTGAACTACGCGTGTACCTTCTCTGACTGCACAGCTTTGGGGTATGGTTCTTCTTGTGGTAATCTTGATGAGGTCGGGAACGCGTCGTATGCGTTCAACATGTATTTTCAGGTGCATGATCAGAAGGCAGAGGCGTGTGACTTTGAGGGTCTTGCGATGGTCACTACCCGTAATATCTCACGAGAACAATGTAATTTCCCGATTCAAATCGGAGATCCAACATCGGGACATATTGATCATAAGCATAGGTTTGGTTCTATTACTGGGGCAGGTCTAATGAGTATGTTGGTGCTCTTTATGGCACTATGAGCTTTCCCATTTTGCTTCTTGGTTAGTTTTGGCATTGTTAATGCATTGTTGTATATTGCTGATTCTTGAGTCACCATCAAATAAAACATATATTGAATTCGATCACTAGCGACTGTAGAAACAGAACACAGTTTCGACAGAATCATAAAACATTGAAATAAAGAAAAAAAATTTTCTCTGTAATAAAATGTTTCAACAACCGAAGAAACCATATTCATTTAAGGAATGCACCATTAGCAACAATAACTTGCCCATTGATCCACTCACCACCATCACTAGCTAAGAAACCAACAACAGAAGCAATGTCTTTAGTCTCACCAAGCCTACCAAAAGGGCTATTCTCAATGATGTATCTCACCGTCTCCTCGCTCTTCCCGTCAAAGAACATCTCAGTCGCAACAGGCCCTGGAGAAACACAGTTTGCAGTGATTCCTGAACCTTTAAGTTCCTTTGCAAGAATCTTCACCATTGTTTCAACAGCTGCCTTTGATGCTGTGTAAGCTCCTTGCCCCGGGATTAGCGCTTCGGTTAATGACGATGTTAGCATTATAATCCTCCCACCGCCTCCACGTTTTAGCCTTTTCGCAGCTTCTTTACAGCACAAGAATGATCCTCTGGTGTTCACCCTGATTGAACAAACACAACAGTTCAAGAACCACTTAATTTGTGATTCTTGATTCTTAAGCAAGGTGCCGAGATCATTGATATTATATAAGTTTTTTGTTTACTTGAAGATGCTATCGAAATCTTCAACTGGAGTGTTGGCGATGGTAGGGTAATTGGGATCGAGGATTCCAGCTGAGTTAACCAGGATGTGTACCGGCGAGTTAAAGGCTTTCTCCGCCGCGTCGAAGAGAGACTCGACATGACTCGGCTCTGAGATATCGGCGCGGAACACGACGGCTACTGGTTCCGGACCAGTGCCGGCGGATGAGTTGATTTCAGCGGCGACCTGATCAGCCTCAGTGGATCTGGTGGTGTAGTTGATAACTATCTTGGCGCCGAGCTCGGCAAGGTGTATGGCTATGGCTCGGCCAATTCCACGAGATGAACCGGTGACTACCGCGACTCGGCCAGCGAGAGAGGGAACTGATGAAGCTGCAGCCATGAGGAACCAAATTGGTCAAACGAAATTTGACTCAGCTCCTTCGTTAACTGTGCAAGTGTAGAGTGTAGACTGTAGAGTATTATGTTTGACCGTAGAATTAACACGACGCCGTTTCACTAGTAGTAACTTTTCGTATCAGCTGGATGTCCCATACTTGAAGCAGATAGAGAAATGCAATGCCATTTCACCAACTGATCCTCCACTAACAACTTTGGCTCCTGATTCAGCAACTTCTTTTGTCAATTCTTCCACTTCAGCTTCCTCTGTTTTCGCATCCTTCTCTAGCTACAAGACCAACAAAAGAGGTCTCATCCGTATCATAACCGGATACCATCAGCCAAATTTATCCATTTGAGAGAATCAAAGGAACTTCTACAACGATATTAACTTGAAGTAAAGAAGAACACAACTGAGTATAGGATGTTGCTCATGTAAGAGAGAATCAAAGATACTTCTTATTGCAATGATATTAACTTGAAGTAAAGAAGAACACAACATGAGAGTATAGGATGTTCTTCTTATCTTCTACCACAACATGAGAGTATAGGATGTTCTTCTACAACATAACTACATATACATCAGTGTTATTTGAATCATACTGAAACATCTCCTTCTTCAACACAGGAAACAAAAACAATGAATCTGAAGACCTTCACAGTGAGCCAATAACTCCACAGTAATCCATTCCCTCAGATTTCAAAACCGGGTTTAAGCAAGTGTAACTTCCCGCAAAACCTTTGCTACATCCTCAGGGAAGACTGGGTTTATGTAACACCCTGTGCCAATCTCAAACCCACCAACCCCAGAAAGCTGAGGTACGATCTGTAAGAACCAGTGCGTATAAGGTAACTGAACTTCTTCGACCTTGAGGGGAGAAGTGTGGATCATATAATTATACGGCGGATCGTTTAGTTGCTTTGCTATCTTCTGGAGCATGAGTTTCAGAATTCCTCCAAAGTCAACAGCCTGTAAATTATTAAAATTAAGCAAGTAAGGTAATGATTCAAGGAACTTGCATTATATCTAACCAAATCATAATAAAACTTAGTCGAGGAGGCAAAAAGTAACCTTAATGTCGTCGAGATGATGGAAGTGGGAAGAATGATCCTTGGGAACAATCCAAACCTCAAATGGATACGTAGCAGCGAAAGGAGCAACGGAAACAAAATGAGACGACTCATCGATCACAAAGTGTTTTGATTTAGCTTCACAGAGACAACATTTCCCAGTCTCGTCGAAATATTCCTTAGTACCATCAAGGCGTGACGAAACTGTTGGAGGAACAACAGGTAGAGCCATTATCTGACTATGGGAGTGACTCATTGATGCTCCAGCTGACGCACCATGGTTCTTGAAGACCTTTTACGATGAATGTAACAATGTAAGCAACCCAAAGATTCACACATAATAACACAAAGCATTGATGTATAAACAATGGATAATGGTGCATTTCATTCCAGATTCACAGATACATTGAGGAATTTTAAATATTGAGTAACAATTTAGGATCTATGGAAACTAATTTACCTGAATGTAATTGATGGAATCATGTTGCGTGATCTGCTGGATCCTCTTCTTATACGCGATCAAGACATCCCCGATACCAACCGGATCGAGATCGGAGAGCTCAATCGAGTGGACAGGAGATTCGATCACCACGTCGTGGAATCCGAATCCGGCTATAGTCCGAACAGAAGCCGTCTCGCGTTGCGTCGATTGGGTCGCGAGATTCCTACTTAGAGCCGGGTACAGATTCTCGATGACCCGGAGTTTCCAATTCGGGTCACGATCTGGCACACGAAATATCTCCGGAGCACACTCGTGCTCACGACCGATGCAAAATGGGCACGAGGAAGGTTTGGGATTAGGGCTCTGAGGAGATTTGGATTTGAAATCAGTTGGTCTCTTGGCCCTGGCGGGAGAGAATATGACCCAGCGGTTAGTCACCGGATCTTTTCTGAGCTCAGGAGACTGAGCCTCGACCAATTCGCCGCCGTCGCCGCCGCGATTAGGGGTACGACTCGGTGACGTCATCTTTCTCTTCTGTTGTGATCTATAGCTTCGACACTTGTGCGATTTCGTTACCGTTGGCGCTATGGACAGAATAGGAATGGGTAACGCCGGTTCAATTAAACCGGAAACAATTGTGGTTAAGACGAATTCGAGCCGATTGGTTTCCAACAATTCTCGGTTTTATGGGTGTATTTGTAATCCAAACCGAACCGAAATCGTATATTCGGTTAACATGCCTTCCTAAATTTGCTTAGGGCATATTTCGCATATTTCATAAACTATCAGATTTTTTATAATCACATTAGTCAAAAACAAAGAAAGAAACAAAATATACGATCTGCAATATGAAACCGTCAAAAAATAATATCAATAAAAATGTATCAAAATAAAGATGGTTTTTGGTAGTATCTTAAAAACAGATTTTTTTGGTTCTCTATGATTATTAATCTTTATTATTTAGGTAAGTACGATTACAAAGCAAACCCGAAACAGCCAAGATTATACATTTTGCAATTTTTAGCCAAGATTATACAATGTACATACACTAATGGTCAATTTTAAACTTTAGCACAAAACATATTTAACATAATAAGGTTGTGGTTATTACACGAAAGGCCTTAACACGTGCGCTTTACTGGATACAACATACAAGTCCAATTATATAATACGTACGAACGAACAAATTGCTGAAATCATATGTACGTCTTAAATTAGTATTAATAAATTTTAAAAACCATGCGAGCAAACCGAAGTAAGCAGCAATATTGAGACCATTAACATTCGAGAACGACGAGAAGTACACCAAAGCTTTTTACTTTTATTTAATTTTTCAAAATCATATATTTAATTTCAAAAAATTCAAAAAGTAATGGAAAGAAAATAAAAATCTTTACCAAATATTTGCCAAGAATTTATATTTTTAATTTTGTAAAGTTGATCAATCCATCCAAGAAAAAAAATAAAAAAAATGGACCAAAAACAAAAAATTCTTCCCCAAATCTGCACCTCCTCTCATCTTCTTCAGCGTCTCTTCATCTCCAACTTCTCAATCTTCATTATTTATACAAAAGCCTGAAGCTCTCTCTCTCTCTCCATCTCTAGGTTTGCTTCCAGCTAGAAAGTTCTTACATTTAAATCGCCGTAAGTTGGAGAAAACCTTTGGTTTTTCTCATTCTGAATATTTCCAAGGAGATCTGAATTTTTTGGATCGATTTTATCCTCACCATAGTCCGATCATCGTTCCTTTTCAAGGGTTAATCCTAAATCCTTCATCGGGTATGATTTTTTTCACATCTGGAATTTTGATTCGGTTGTGTGTTGTTGTGTTTTCATGTTTTGTTTCATATGCTTTTTCTGGAAAGATCTTCACTTTTTTGGATGATGATCGAAACTGTGGCTTGGTTAAACTGTTTCTTTTGAATCTATGTCACTTTTATTTGCGTTTGTATGTTTCTGTGATGATGAGAATCACCTGATGTTTGTATTGATGGTGTTTGATCGATTAAATCGACTTGCTTGGTAAATTCTTTTGATGTGTTCGCCATCGTGTAACAGTAATGATGATCTTGATACTCTTGAGCCAAAGTTGATGACTTTATGGTGCTTGTGATTTTGATTGTTTCTCTGCTTTGATTGGAAAGTGTGTCTGTAAAAGGATGACAGTCAAGTGATTTGATGGGAAGACAATGCTCCCAGGGCAAGCCACTGTTTTTTTTATTCTATTACATTGTATTTACTGGCTATCACAATAGATTTGTATCTTCTCTTTTCGACTGTGAATGAAATGCCATTGATATTTGTTCCTTCACCTTTTGATCAATTACATTCTTACACTCTCTGCTGCCGCTGTTTATACTGCAGGTTAGCTAAAGAGGTATACAGAAAGAACAATATTTTCTTACTCTTTGTATGGAGTAAGAATGCCAGAGTTAAGAAGTGGAGCACGTAGATTGAGACAACCTAGCCCTCAGGTGATTGATCAGGCCGAAAATATTGAACTCCCTCCTCAGCCTGTAACAAGGAGAAGAGGTGGTGGTAGAGGAAGGGGTAACGCTGCAGCAAAAGCCGCTGCACCTCCAAGACCAACTGGTGCTGCCGGTAGGGGTAGAGGCATCAGGTTAATAGATTTAGAGGCTGAACCTTGCGAGATTCGTCCAGCAGTAGGTGAACCTGCTCTTAATCAAGTTGAAGGGGTAGCTGATAAGGATATCGCTATGGAAGGTGGTAGCGCAGACAAGATAGTTGGTGTAGAAGAAGATTCCAGCACAGCTCCAGTCCCTGAAAGGGTAAAATTATGCTGATCTTATGACATTCAAGTACTAGGCTTTCTGTTTGAGTGGGTATTGATTTTGATTTCATTTATTTGTATAGGTACAAGTTGGAAATTCTCCTGTTTATAAGACTGAGAGGAAACTCGGTAAAGGAGGCTTTGGGCAAGTATTTGTTGGTAGAAGGGTGAGTGGTGGCAGTGATAGGATTGGGGCAGATGCAATTGAGGTATGTTGTAAAGAAGCTTACTGAAGTGAAGATTCGTGAGGATTATACAAAGGAAGTCAAATCGTAAAAGAAAATTCTTGTGTTTTTCTTTTTTTTCAGGTGGCTTTGAAATTTGAGCACCGCAATAGCAAAGGCTGCAATTTTGGCCCACCTTACGAGTGGCAAGTGTACAAGTAAGACTTGCTTGCATTTTATCTGAATTTCTTGCCAAGTTTCTGATCAACTAATTTGTCATCTCATCTGTTTCTTTTTTCCTCTTGTTGTAAAGTACGCTTAATGGTTGCTATGGAGTTCCTGCGGTGCATCACAAGGGTCGTCAAGGCGATTTTTACATTCTTGTATGTAATATAGTCTGAGCTTTATTAGATTTACTTTGTGATTAATTGAGTTATTATGTATTGAGTAACGTTTTAATAAATATTTCAGGTCATGGACATGCTTGGTCCGAGTCTCTGGGATGTTTGGAATTCTTCGGGACAATCGTAAGCACTCTTCGTTTTCCACCACACTTTAATCTGTTTGCAAAAAATATCATATGATTCATGTTCATAACCTGTGGCAGGATGTCTCCAAACATGGTAGCCTGCATTGCAGTTGAGTCCATATCTATTCTTGAGAAACTTCATCTGAAAGGGTAAGTATATTTTTGATAACTTCTTGACAAATAGGTTCATTCATTTCGCAAAAAAAATTACATTTTAATGTCACAATTTGCTTTCCTTGACCTGATTGTCTTGCTATGTTCCCTTCCCCTGTCAACTAGGTTTGTCCATGGAGATGTGAAGCCCGAAAACTTTTTACTTGGTCAACCGGGGACAGCAGATGAGAAGAAACTGTACCTTATCGATCTTGGTCTTGGTGAGTTTGTTATTATATTTTTTGAACAAACTTTAAAAATTAGTACTAGTTTCTTCTCTTATGTGTCTAAACGTTTAATGGGATATTAATATTGGTTTTCTTATTTGATCTTTGTATTAGTATTGACATACTTTTCTTTTGTTTCAGCATCGAGATGGAAAGATTCGCACTCAGGCCAGCATGTTGAATATGATCAAAGACCTGATGTGTTCAGGTATGTTATTAGTGTATGTTTTTGTTCTTTATATATAAAAATTTTCATATCTTTTTACATGTTTCTTATGTTACACATGCAGGGGAACAATAAGGTATGCAAGTGTTCATGCGCATCTAGGTCGTACTGGAAGTCGGAGAGATGATCTAGAGTCATTGGCTTATACTTTGATTTTTCTCTTGAAGGGAAGACTACCATGGCAAGGATATCAGGTCTGTCTTTAATTCTCTACATGATCTTACAAATAATATCTGATTCATTTTCCTCATTATTACTGTTAGTTTTGTGTTATAATCTTTTACTGGTTTTTGCAGGGTGACAATAAGAGCTTTCTTGTTTGCAAGAAAAAGATGTCAACTTCTCCTGAACTTATGTGCTGTTTTTGTCCACCCCCGTTTAAGTTATTCCTCGAAGCAGTTACTAACATGAAGTTTGACGAAGAGCCCAACTATGCAAAGCTTATTACAATATTTGATTCTCTTATTGAACCATGTGCTCTATCTAGACCAATTAGAATTGATGGGGCTCTTAAGGTTGCTGGCTTTTTTCCGTTCTTATGCTTAATTATTCAACTATTATAAATATTGTTGAAAGTGCTGATCTTGCTTCTTTTGGTACGTAGGTTGGGCAAAAACGAGGAAGATTGCTTCTTAATTTAGAAGAGGATGAACAGCCAAAGAAGAAAATCAGAATTGGTAGTCCTGCTTGTCAGTGGATCTCCGTCTATAATGCTCGTCGTCCTATGAAACAGAGGTAAAATTTGCATATACACTTGAAAGTTTCGAAAACCTTAGTTCATCAAATTTCTCACTACGGTTTAATGTCATTCTCCTTTGTCTAGATATCACTATAACGTTGCGGACTTGAGGCTGCACCAACATGTTCAGAAAGGTAATGAGGATGGCCTTTTAATTAGCTGTGTAGCATCATCCGCTAATCTCTGGGCCCTCATAATGGATGCTGGGACTGGATTCACTTCTCAAGTTTATGAATTGTCAATGGTCTTCCTTCACAAGGTAATAATTGCTTGAAGCAACATTTAGGAATCAATCAATATTGCAGTAACTCACCCTTTGTTTTCATTTTGGCAGGACTGGATAATGGAACAATGGGAAAAGAACTACTATATCAGTTCCATAGCTGGTTCAGATAATGGGAGCTCGTTAGTTGTTATGTCAAAAGGTTGGTTTTAATGGTAGTAATCTTCAAATTGCATGTGACAGTTAACTATAACAGTGGCATGCTTACATAATAACCTTATAACATGAAGACTTCTTTACTTATTACTACTTGTTACAAATTGGTAGGTACTTCTTATACTCAGCAATCTTACAAAGTCAGCGACTCATTTCCTTTCAAGTGGATAAATAAGAAATGGAAAGAAGATTTCCATGTAACCTCCATGACAACTGCTGGGAACCGTTGGGGTGTGGTAATGTCAAGGAACTCGGGCTTCTCTGATCAGGTAGGTTTCCATCTGTTAACCTTAAAAGCATTTTTGACATTTTCCTATAGAACATTCTGACATCTCCCCTGATAATCTTGTTTGGTTATTGCGTGGAAAGGTCGTGGAGCTTGACTTTTTGTACCCCAGTGATGGAATACATAGGAGATGGGAAAGTGGGTACAGGATAACGTCAATGGCAGCAACTGCAGATCAAGCAGCTTTTATATTAAGTGTACCAAAACGTAAAATGATGGATGAAACTCAAGAGACTCTTCGCACCACCGCCTTTCCAAGCACTCACGTTAAGGTTTGTTTCTCCAGTTTTGAACAGAAGTAGGATTTATGGTTTGGTTCCATACACTAAATTAGGACTTATACGGTGTTGGTTGATATTTCCAGGAAAAATGGGCTAAAAATCTGTACATTGCATCAATATGCTTTGGAAGGACAGTGTGCTGAGATAGATAGCATCAGATGTGTTCTGTTGCAATTGGAGCATAAGGATCAGAGTACGATCAAGAAAAGGAGAAAGCAGACGCAGCCTGGTTGTTGAATGTAATGAAATGGATGCGTCCTCGTATGTATGTAGAAGTATGAAAAGATAGAAACGAAGGTAACAGCGAAATTGAATTAGTAATAGAAAGTTTTGAGGGCTTTTTAAAGCCTTCAAGTGTGCTTTTTTTCTTTTTGGGTTATCTTTTGCGTTGTTTGATGCGTCTATAGGTTTCTTTCAACCTTTATATTTAAGTGTCTAATAAGTGAAATGTGAGAAAGGCAAACCAAACTTAAACCAACTTGAGCATAAATAAATAAATAATTTCTAATTTAATTCCATGTTATTCAAATCTATTTAATTTTTTAAAATTTTAAAAAAAATTGTAGACCAATTCAGCTCAAAGAAAGATTGTATTATTTTTGTTTAATTTCTGAAAACCCTAATACGTAGACGAGTATATATGTATTATTATTTTGATCTTTTTGGTTTTAAAAAAAGTTGAAGTAGCTACTTATTGTGCACTCCAATTGCTTCCCTCGCTAAAACCCTAAAAACCTCCAAGGAGCAGAGCGCTGCCTGTTAAGAACAAAAAAAAAGAACGATGAGACCACCACGTGGCGGCGGGAACTTCAGGGGAAGGGGAGGAAGAGATGGCGGCGGACGTGGTCGTTTTGGCGGCGGTGGACGTTTTGGTGGCGGAGGACGTTTTGGTGGTGGTTATCATGACGATGGACCTCCCAGCGAAGTCGTTGGTTCGTTTTCTAATCCTTTTTGAAGATTCTCATTCTTGCTTTACCGATCAAACCTTGACAAAGTTCTTAATGAGCGTTTGTTATTATTTGATTCATCGTTAGAGTTGAGGTTTTGTGACAAGTTTTAAAAGTTAATTGAAAGGATCAAACTTGTGAATTGTCTATGGTTATGATAAAGTTTGTTTCTTTGGATATATGTACAGAAGTTGCAACCTTTCTCCATGCTTGTGAGGGAGATGCTGTGACCAAGCTATCGAATGAGAAAATCCCACATTTTAATGCCCCAATCTACCTACAAAACAAGACCCAAATTGGGAGAGTAGATGAAATCTTTGGTCCCATTAATGAATCTGTATGTGTTATCTTTCTATCTCTGTTGCCTTCTTCTTTTTACTGGCCCTTTAACTAATATCTAATAATGCATTGGTTCTTACTTTTTCAGCTGTTTACGATCAAAATGATGGAAGGTATTGTAGCTACCTCTTATGCTCCAGGTGAGAAGTTCTTCATTGACCCTCGGAAGCTTTTACCTCTTTCAAGATTCCTTCCTCAACCAAAGTAAGCTACACTTCCTAAAAGATAAGCTCGTTTCTGATATTTACACTTGTTGAGTTACCAATTCTTAGAACAAACATGTTCAACTGTTCGAAAAAGTCTGTGACAAAAGTCTTGTTCTGTTCTTCTTGCAGGGGCCAATCAGGAGTCCGTGGTGAAGGAAGAGGTGCTCCCCGTGGAAGAGGAAGAGGTGCTCCCCGTGGTAGAGGCGCTCCCCGTGGTAGAGGTCCTGGATTTCAACCAAGAGGTGGTTTTCGTGGAGCCTTCAGAGGCCGAGGGAGAGGATAGATTCATAATCTATATAATAGCCTTATTGTTGTAATTCCTCCTTTTATCTTTGGATCGTGAAAATGTTTTCTTAAGAAGCATAATGATAGTAATCGTTACTCAGATTCTAGTTTTTGATACTTGGCTTTATGAAATGAGTAAAAAAGTTCCATCAATTATTTGAGCTCAAGGTTTTATTACATACAGAAGCATCATCTGGTCATAAACACAAATCTGTTAACTCAAGGAGACGTCTAAGCCAAAGTAGGAGTAGAAAAAAAGAACAGTAAAGGTTGACTCGTTTTATTAAGGAGATTCATAAAGATCAGAGTTATCTTAAGCTCCCCAGCCTCTGAGAATGGTAGCCTGAGCCACACGATTAACACCGAGAGTGAAAGCTCCCATCCGGAGATCACAGGAGTGAGTTTTGCACATCTCTTTCAAGTCCTTGAAAGAGCGAGTCATGTAAGTCTTTAGCTCATCATTCACCTTCTCTTCTTCCCACATAAACCCTTGTATGTTCTGCACATTATCAGAAAACAACTTATGTAATGATCAAAATATCAGTTTGGTTCGGGTACTTGGTAACTGACAGTGACTCATACCTGAACCCATTCGAAATAACTGACAGTGACTCCTCCAGAATTTGCATATATGTCTGGGAGAATAACCACACCTTTCTTACTTAAGATCTGTAACACAAGAGTCTATATTACAGATCCTTAATGAGAATTTCCGAAGTAAAAGAAGAGGACAATATAGAAACCTCATCAGCGTCTGGATCAGTTGGATGATTAGCAGCTTCTATGATGAATTTTGCTTTAATGTCATTCGCATTCTCCCTTCAACCAAACCCCACTTAATATAGTTTTATAGGAAGTTTCAACAAAATGAAAGTTTGTATAGTAGCAAAAAAGCTTGAACCTGTTAATGACACCACCAAGTGCTGCAGGGACTAGGATATCACAATCCTCAACCAATATGGAATCTGGATCGATCGGATCCGCACCTCCAAACCCTTTGACACCTCTGTGTTGTTTTGTATGGTTGAGCAAGGCCGGGATATCAATACCGTCCTTGTTCTTGATAGCTCCGGTAATGTCACTCACTGCAACAATCTTCCCACCCTTTTCACTTATCAGCTTTGCCGCCCAAGAACCCACATTACCAAATCCCTAAAGAACCAACACTTTAACCCCGGATGAGAAAAGTCTCCCTGGCTCGCAAGAAACTACAATAAAGAAAGATATTCAAAAACATCACCTGGATGACAAAACGCTGCCCTGATATGGTCTTTCCGTGCTCGTTAAGCAACGCTTCGGTTCCAAACATCACTCCTCTTCCAGTAGCCGCGTCTCTACCTAGCGATCCACCAAGATCCTGGCTCATAAACATCATTTTACCACTCAGCTAACTTATACCAGTGATTAGCAACACAATTACCGTGGTTACTGTTACTTACAATGGGCTTTCCAGTCACAACTGCAGGGGAGTATCCATGAAACTTAGAGTACTCATCAAGAATCCAAGCCATTGTCTGCAAATTCACCACCAAGGTAAAAAAAATGACCCACGAAGAACAAAAGCTTACTAAAATCGTTTTGGAGAGAGTTAAAAAAACCTGAGGACCAGTGCCCATATCTGGAGCTGGAACATCAGTTTGAATCCCAATGAGATCATGAATCTTCTGAGTGAAAACTCGAGTCAACCGCTCGAGCTCGGAGATACTAAGCTTGCTCGGATCACAACCAATCCCTCCTTTGGCTCCACCATAAGGAATCTTAGCCACTGCTGTTTTCCAAGTCATGAGCTGAGCCAATGCGTTCACTTCATCAGGATCAACCTCCAAGGAGAGAATAACGTAATAACCGGTTAGCATCATACCAAACCGAAATTGTATACTGGTTTGGGAAGAAGAAAAGTCGAGAAAACCTCGGGATGATATCTGATTCCACCTTTCATGGGACCTCTTGCATTGTCGTGTTGAACTCTGAACCCAACGAACGATGCTAATGTCCCATCGTCTTTCGGTATTGTACATTCCACCTGCAAAAGTAATTACAAAACCGGTTGATCAAATTGGTTCCGTCCGGTTTATTGATTCAGTAACAGGATCCGCGAATAGCGGGTCGGGTTTCGAAATGCCCCGAAACATTCAGAAATCATTATTTCCACTCAAAATCCGCCGCGAAGAATTAACTCCGGGCGCCGGAAAAAAGCACAAATCAGCCGATCAAAGTCAATTTATATTAAGAAAGTAGTGAAAACCTTGATTTCACGGAAGGGGATGAGAAGACTTTTCTCGAGCTTAGAATCCAAACCAAGAAGCCTAGAAGCTAACTTGAAGTTTCTGTTTGTTGCTGCTAAAGCATTCATGGCTCTTCTTCTTCTTCTTCCTTCAGCTTTTTCTCTGGTGTACTTTTACTTTTATGAGCTTTGATCAGAACGCTGTAATAAACAAAGAAGACTGTTAGAAGGGAAGAAGATTGGTGTGTCAGTGTTGTTAAGTGTGTCTTTATTTATAATAAATGTAAATAAGGTGTCTGAGTGATCACATATACATATGCACGTGATCGATGCTTGGGTAAGATTCAGTGGAGGGTGGAGCTGATTAAGGCAATTTCAAAACCCCAAGAGACAATAATTGTGTGATTAAAGGTTATGTATTTTCATTTCAATTTCTTTTAAAAAGTATGTTACAAAGATATACTTTTGATAAATTTAGACAAACATCCTTTAAGTTAACTGAAGAGTTTTTTTGCCCTCTAAAATAAGAAATTAAACTAAGTACAAATCTTTATCTATCTCTTTATAGTAGTTCTGGGATCAACTAGACATATTTCTTTGGACACTAATCATTTTGGGGACTTTTGAGTTCATATTTGGGATGTCACTGGAGATTTGTTTCCTCTCCCCATTAATGTAAATAAATAGTTTGAGATAACAAACATTGTGCTATGTTTTATGTCAGAGAATAATTTAAGCTAAAATAAAGAACATTCATAAAACGTTGCATATGTTTTATTTGGGCATCTCTGGCTATAGAGATTATATTCCTAAGTGAAATTAGTGGTGAATGTGACACATAATACTTCTTTTGATTTGGAAAGAGATATGGTTGCATCGTCATCTTCGCATCAACTCGTAATTTCTTTGATTTTTCGACATTGGTGTTTGTTGACTTGTAAACAAACAATCTTATCCACTATGTTTTCTTTTGTCATCCCAACTTAATAATATGCGTCCAAACACACATGTACGGATTCACCATTTTATTTCTTTTGCTAAGAGTTTATAAACTATAGTTTTAGTTGGGATACCATTGTCACCCATGAAAGATTTCTTAATTAAAAAAAAACTAACATAGGCTATTGAACATTTCAAGAGATGTATCTTATCTAATTGTGTGTGTGTGTGTCTTTTTTTGTTGGTCAGTATTGGTGTTGGACTAGTGGTGAAGTCACACTGTAGAAGACAAAGTTGTTGAAAGAGAAGTAAACAAAAAATACAAAGACATGTGTATTGGCCTATGATGCAGCCTAGTAGTGGCTTAGGCTTTCATCTCTTATAACACGTATCGAAGATACTCTAGTTTGCTTATGAATGTTCTACATATCATCAACTAAAAAATTTAATGCCTTTCTGACTTCAAAAAGACTGAGTCGTTTGCATAAATCTATGCAGCCACAGGCCCACAGTCTGCAGAACCCGGCCCACATTGTTGTAACACATGTTGAGGTAATATCCAAAACTAAGTAATGATCAATTGATATGTCATTCTACGGTTAACAAAACAAAACAAACAAGAAACTGTTGAAGAACATTGAGCAAATGTATAATCGCTAACAAATGCTAGAAACAAAACAGAGGATTCGTAGGTGTTATCTAAAACGCATATTACAGTCGTCTCTGCCTCTATAGGTTTCTTCTTTTACCTACCATCCGTAGATTGTTTATAAATTATATAGTAAGTGTCTTGCATATTGCACTAACATGTAGAAATTATCAAATCATGGCAAAATATAACAATGGGCTCAATCAATCAAATTTACAAGAAAGTTCTAACGAAACACTCCATTAATATATATAATGTCGTTCTATGAAAAACGAAAGAAAAGATGAGAGCTCTTACAATGAGCTGAAACTCTCATTGTGGTTTGGCAAAACATAATAATAGTCATTCAGAAGATCAGATCCAAGTTCTATCAGGTTGCCAAATATGTTTAACTGCAATTCCGCGAAACTTGATTTATTGATGAATAATACACTTATACACAACATAGCACGATCCATTAAAAACTCATTCCTGTGTATATAAGCTCACCAGCATCCGTAACACCCTTCAGATCTAAACACTTTATCTGAAGGGTTACATGATCAAGTATTACATGAGCGTGTGTATACGTTATTTTAGAAGTTGGTCAAATAGTTTAATGATAGTGTGTTAATTTAAAACAGGTTACATGATTCTTTAATATAGGATCTGACATCAAATCTTCATATGGTTAAACTCGAATCAACAAGATAACCAAATGAATTATGGCTAACTAAAAATATAATCCCGTTGACACATCACATCACCCATAAAAAGATGGAAAGGGTTACATTTAGTTATATTTCCATGACATTTGAGCTAAAAGACAGACGATGTTCTACCAAATGATCATTAGATTAGATATATTATCAAACAAGAATTTGCATTAAAATCAACCACACAGCCAAAACAATCGATATAACTCTAAATCTTTTACGTACGACATTGATATTCTAGAAACACCCCTCAAATTGTACAAAAGAGAAGTAGACTTTTTCGCGGTTCAATTCTATAATAGCGTCGCGTTGACAAAAGCTACATCATACGTGATGATAATACAATAATACAACTTTACATTAGTGGTGGTAGTTGAGGTCAGCCTCTTCTAGACACTTATTTTGTCTTTCTTCTTTTACCCCCATTGTAATACTACTACTAGTAACCATTTTCTTTTATACCCTTTACTTTTCATGGTTTACCTCAACGCATCCCCTCAACTTTATTTTCTTTCAAGACAAAATTTAGTAGAAATCAAGGATCTATTGGAACGATTAACAATTATTGGGGCTGATTTACAAATAAATAGAAATTATGCCGTTATTTATGTTATTGACGTAAATATGAAAACACCAATTCTTCTCCTATTGCTGAAAGATTCAGAAACGCGTTTCCTTTTTCTCTCATACTGTGGAGAGGGAGACATGTAAATAGCAATCTCATGATTTCAACTCCATAAATTTCTCTATTGTTTCTCTCTTTCTCTCTCACACGATTCGTTTCCCAGATTCTCACGAACCCTAAAAGAAACTTTCTCATTCTTCAACACATTGAGATCAGAGATTCCTAATTCGTCCTTTCTTCATGTGTCCGTTGAGGTTCTTATTGGTGTTCTTCTCAGCTGTACTCGCCGGATATTTCGCATGGAAGACGGTGAGTTCTTCGCCTGAGCTCATCTCAGACGACTCACCTGTCGAATTGAATGACAAACAAGGACTCGATTTCAAACAGGTAAAAGCTTTTTTCTCATTAATTTCATTTTGGATTTTGATTTCTCTGTGGAGGATTGGTTCTGATTTTCCTCTGTTTTCTTGTTCAAATTGGCGAATTTAACAGAAGATGGAGAATGGGTTTTGGGTGTTCGTCGATATGGCTAGCGGAAGATACCTTTGGAGGAATCTTAAGGAGATGAGAGAAAAAACTCAATAGAAGACGAAAAAAGATTTCATCTTTGTACTTTTTGGTCTCTTCTTTGTGCAGAAACAACAATAATGAATACATAGACGTGTGTTAATCACAATCCTTCACTTGTTCTAATTCTTCATATGAATTTTGTAAACTTTGATTCATTGATTTTGTAATACAAAGGAGTTTGTAACTTTTTACAAGCAATTTCTTCTCTTTACTATTCAAATCATCTCCAGACCTTTTGACACATCTTTTCTTAAGGGGGATTGGAATAGAGAACATGATATTTTAGCTATTTACAACCTAAACTTTGAGATGAAACCTGACGTAGTGAAGAAGATGAGAATATATTCAGGTGGAGTCGACTTGAAGCTTGATTGACATGTAGAGGAGGGTGAGAAGAGCTCCTTGTGGAAGAGGAGCATGTCTAGCTAAATTGGAGCCAACCCACATTGCCACTACCACAAGAACCACAACGCTGCTGCTTGCTTTCCCACAGAGCCAGCTTGCAAATGTTAGACACAGAGTTAGAAGGATGCCGCCTTTTCCGCCTAGTACCCATGCGATCATGAACCCGACTTTGTAACCCATGTCGAGTTCCTTGTCGAGCAAAGCCGTCAATGTGCTAAATGTGAGAGATGCTAGGCAACCGAGTGTGTATAGAAGAAACATCGACAAGAAAGCAGATTTTAGTGCTTCTACAAAGGAGTCTTGCTGGTCTTGTGCTGTTCCTACTTCTTCTTCCTCTTCTAGTGGCTCGGTCTCGGCGTAGAAATGTGAGTTTGGATATGTTGAATAGTGTCCATAGAATCTCTCGTGTCTGGATCTTTGTCTTTTCTCAGCCCAGCTGTAGTAATACTTCATGGCATCTTCTTCCTCAGGAGTATAGGTTTGCCTTCTCACTCTATGGAACCGAGAATTTTCTTGAAGTTTAAGTGCTCGGTCGTACTGAGTCCTTGCAGCTTCATTAGATAGTACCTTTTAACAGCAAATACAGGTAAATAAAGACTTCCGTCAATTGATGTTACACTGGATCCCAAGAACAACTCAAAAACTTGTAATCTAGCACACTCATTCATAGAAGGAAATAAGCAATAGAAGGAATACCGACTTCGTAGGAACAACGAATGGTCTTGAATAGCTCTCCAGCTCTAGAGTCCTTATTCACATCAGGATGAAACTACAGTTGCAACACAAGAATACAGTCACCAACATAACCCAAAAAAAGCTGAGGAAACCAGCAGCATACCTGACCATGCTATATTATCAGGATTCAAGTGTACAAGGTCTACAAGATTGATACAGTGAAGGATCAGGTTCCACCAAACTCCAGATAAATGATGATAAACAAAGGCAGCAAATCATATACAGAAGTCTCATACGAATACAAGATTTGAACTTTTCTGTTTCCTCAAAATCAACATTGACTATAAGCCATAAATTTTGTTTGCTATTTATGCAGAACTCCACCAAAAGTGCGTAATGTCCACTAAAATCTGATACTGATCGAAATTTTACATCTTTCAACACAGCAACCAATCAACATCAACGTTGCAAAATCAGTGAGATCCTTCATTTCATTCTCGGAAGCAACACAAACAAAAACAACTTTACCTTTCGAGCGAGAAGGCGATAAGCTCTCTTGATGTCAACTTGTGTGGCGTTACGAGCTACGCCCAAGACAGCGTAATGATTCTGTCCGCCAGTATTAGAAGCCGAAGACGAAGAAGAAGAATACGCAGCAGAAGTAACAGTCGTTTTCAAGCGATAACGGTGAGAGCGAGATCTGCCGTCGCGCTGCCTTCGACGGTGGTGGTGTTGTAAGTATCGGCCGAAATGATTAGAAGACGGAGGGAGGAGATCGCCGGAGAAGGAGGATGAGAATCGACGGCAGCCCTTGAGTGGGATGGGTCCAACCAGAAGCTGGGTCTGCATTATCTTCTTCTCACACTCACAGTCACAGGCTCACAGCCACAGGTCTGTTTGTCAACGGACCACTGACGTTAAGTGGTGGAATAGAACCGGCTTTGACGGAAGGCCGTTAAAATTACTGGCGGGTCGGATTATCGGATCTTACTTATTTTTGGTTTGGGTTATTCTTGATAATGGGCCTTTAGATGTTGGGCTTGATCTTTTTGTTGATGTAAATTGCATGCAGCCTTGCAGCCCCAAAGGAACTAAATCCTCAATTGTTCTTTTTTTTTTTTTTTAATAATTAAGAGGTTCTAGGCTTAAAATTCTTATTTGTTTAGCAATATTGTACATACAACTTTTGTTTTATAAAGTACTCATAAATTTATTTGATTTACTAAAATACTACAATATGCTGCATCATATAGCACTTTTGTACTCTACAAGGTGCTTTGGTGATGACAATTTTTTTATATACATCAATAATGTTGCATTATGTGGATTTGAATCATTCAACAAGAACACTAACACACTCATAAACATCATTTGGGACTTTAATGTTAATTGCAAAGTATTAGGTTTAGAGTTCATTTATACCCTTTTCTATGTATGTAACTTGTTTTCTTCGTCTGGTGTATTTACCCATTGCATTTTCTAACCACTGTAAAAGCGTAAATATATACAGTAAAACCTCTATAAATTAATACTCGATAAATTAATAATCTCTATAAATTAATAAATTTCTCCGGTCCCAATTTGGGAGCAGTGTAATTTTAGACATATTTCAATAAATTAATAAGATAATAATTTTTTTGAAATCCTTTGTAAATATATGGTCCCAATAATATTATAAATTAATAATTAGGTAAAATTTTCAAAATATATGTATATATATACACATTAGTTTTTGTTAGAGTTTATTTCTAATATTTTACTAAATCAAAAATTGTTAGCATTCTCATTCAAGATATAATAATAATTATTTTCTTTGTAATTGATTATATAAAATACTAATTATCATGATTAAATCTCATTTTTAAATATTTTTCTGAAAAAACCTTTTAAATTAGGAAAATCTCTTTATAAATTAATAATTATTAATTTATCGATAAATTAATATCTCTATAAATTAATAGATTTTCATGATCACAACATTATTAATTTATAGAGGTTTTACTGTATATCATCGATTCATCGTTCATTATAACTTAACTGGTGTAGTAATTTTTTTTTATAACTAGTGTGCATTCAGAAAAATAATATCATTATATATTTACAAACATTATTTATTGGATTTCCTAAATTCATAAATATAATTCTATATATGGATCCCCGTATTTGAGAAGAAGACATTGGATATTAAAGATCTCTGATGTAATGATATATTAAAGTGCATCGTAGTATCCACCAAAAGATATCTGAGCTCTTGCCACGGGAAGACCTTTCATCACAGAGATTGCTTCATTTAGCTTTGTTGCATGCTTCACTACTTCGTTCATTCGCTGCAACAACAATCATTATAAAGACATTTTAAATAAATTCACAAAACATCTTCAAGTCCCTTATATAATTAATACGCATATGATAACTTGTAAAAAGTATATGTAAAGGAACAATGACGTTATTAATTATTAAAACGTGTTTTAATTTGGTTCAAAGTGTGAGGGTGACGCAAGAAAAGATAAACACAAAACGTACACAAAATAAAAATAAAATGAGAATCGTTCGTCTCTATACAATTATTATCGATTGTTCCCTTAGACACGTAATAGGCGGCCACACCGCCAAACGCACATCCTTATCACTTTCGTTAATATCATCAAACACACAAACAAAACTTTTCTAAGTAACAGCTTCCATCAAATCAAACACGTAAATATTGTATAATTAAGCTGATGAGATCTAACTTTAGTAACACGATTATGAAAATGATTGTATCTAGTAAAAATTTATTCATGAATCTAAAGCAGAATTGTAGTTCATTATCAAAGCATCTTAAATTATAAACACAAGTAATTAATGTCAATCTATAGATAGTTTATTTCTTCGAACAGCGCTTGACTTGAAATGATGAATCATAAGTATAGAAAAGATTACCTTATTATCATCAGAGTAAATCTGGAACCTGAGGATTTGGTTCTTGTTGCGACAACCATGGATGCTACTGTTGTTTCCAAGGAAGAAGACACAGATGGTGGCAGCAGCAGCAGCAACACCAAATGAACATATAGCTCCAATTCCATTGAGACCCTTCTTCCACAGATTCATTTTCTTACCTTCATCCCAATCAACCTCTTTCTTGCTACTCAAGTCACTACTATCTGATCCCATGATCTCGGAATGTTTCTCGTCGTTCTGATGAGGCAGAGGGCTTGTGAACCTGGCTGATGGCGAGTCTAGTTTCATGTCGGCAAATTCGGTTTCCTTCATTTTCTTGAAGGTTATTCTCGGCGACGGAAGAGACTCCGTCAAACGTTCCGGGTCTGGCTCCGAGAAATCCGGATCCGGGTGCTTCTTGCGATCTTTGTCGTCAACGGGGGACAAAGGCTCCCAAGTTATGGGAATTTGGAGGAGTTGTGTGGGGACCACGCTAGATCTCTGATAAAGAAGCTCTGTTTTGCCGACAGGATCTTGTGTTGAGCAGATGTAGTAATCATTTTCGAAGGTTTTCCCGTTGTTTCTCATCATCTTCTTGGCTTCATGATCCTCTTCAAGACCAAGATCAAGCTCGAGACCCTTGTAGTTGTTTCTAGGGAGTATTTCCCACTCTTCTAGATCCATTTTCTCCAGCTAGTTGTTGTTGACGGATTTCTCCGATTAGCTTTAGGATTTTAGAAAAAGAAAGTTAAAGGTTTTGTTTGGGCTAGCTAGAGTGGTTTTTTCTTTTTCAAGTATTGGAGCTAGTTGAGACTTTATGGTAATATTGAGGAGAGAACTCTCTCCATCATCGTTGTGAAGTGGTTTCTTAGATCCTTAAATAGATGATCATAGAAAGAAGAAGAAGAAGAAGAAGAGACGTAAAGAGAAAACTCTTTAAATGGCTGATTTAACTATGGGAGTGGGTACAAGCGAGATTGACGCATTTACTCTAGTCACTGTTAAAATAGATTAAAGTTACAAAAGTGTATAATTAGTGATTTTTTGGTTGTCGGCGATTAGCGATTAAAAATTGATAATTTATTTCTGTGAGAAACTATTTGTGGAGATCAAGTCACATAGTTCACCGGATTTTCGTAATCTAATAAGCTAAACGTCGTTTTAACCATGAAAACTTTATAAATGATATATTGCTTAAACATAATAATAATCAGTGGTGAAAAAATAAGGCTAATTGCAATCTCTAAGGCGTGGGCGGCGAAGGAAGTCATTTAGAGCTTATCCCATGTACGCAAAGATACGAATGAAGTGACAAAAGAAGATGATGTTGCCAATTTTAGGAGGAGCCCCACGTTAACAATTATCAATTGTCTTCTTTGACAATGTCCCTTTGATATTTTTGTGTTTTGTTTTTTCAAACCTTTGGTTGACACGCTATTTGGTTTTGGACAATGTCATATTTTGGTTATAAGAAATGAGATCATAATTTTGTACTAGGTTCAGTTGTGCTAATGAAATTCTGATGGTAGTTTTAAGATTTTAGTTTATGGATTAAGAGGTCTACCTAAGCGGGGTATTTTATGATATATATGACAAAACGTATTGGTAGTGATAGACTAAAATAGGCTTTTATTGAAGTTTCTAGATAGGGAGAGGAGAGCTAGAGAGGAAGATACTTCAAGCATAATATACTTGGGTACCACCAACACGTGAATGTCTTGCATATATTTTTGGTGTTGTTTCTTACATTTTAGTAAACTACCAAATTTTTGTGATTAACATAAAAACGAAAACAAGAAAGATAGAAGATGATATGTGTTATACAAGTCATAAGTTTTAAAGTCCTTTTCTATGGAAGCAAATTATTATATAAAAGAAAAATATATATTAGTGGAGGTTGCTTGTTCGCAATTACTAGTGTTTTTATTCAATGCAAAAGCAACGAATGATTCATTTAACAAGTGTTATAAAAGCATAAGTCGTTAAAGAACCCCTACAATCATTTATTTTTCTTATTCTATTTATATTTTCCATCATCCTGATAGTTATCCTTTACACAAAATGATAGCATAAGTTTCTTTTTGGTAGAGTAAGAACCACGTCAATCAATAAGTGCTAATGATCTTGTGCTTTAGGCAGCTTACATCTGAAATTAAGCTCAATCTTAAAGCATCTTAAACTGTATTCAAAATGGTGTATAAGCTTCTCAACTAACTAAGGATTCCTAAGTTGAAATTGAAAATATCTAATAGAGATATAGATTCAACTGTCACACACATACGCAAAAACGACAGGAAAACGAAACTTCAACATGTGATCCTGAGTGATCCACACAAGTCGGACAAGTTTCTTTCACTTATACGACCCCAAGTGTCCACCTCTAACACCAATTATACCAATATACGTAAAACAAATTGTTTGCAAAACGAAGTGGACCAGGAACAAGAATATTCAAAAATGGAAGACAAATATACACAAAAGATGCAAAACATGATTTACATACACAGACACAGAGGAACTCCAAAGTTATAGAAACATGTCAGACTTGTCAGTCAAAGGATCTCTCACAGACAGTAAAGTAATCTACACTAAGCTCATTGACAATGAAGGATCTCTCAATCACCCTTTTAGGCTGATTGTGATGAAGATTTCCCTAGTGAGACCGATGCAAGTGCGTTCTTTGCCCTTTCTTGGAAGTTTCTTGTTTTGGTGAGTCTCAGTTTCATCCATAGCCTCCTCACGTCCATCATGTGCAGGGCACGACCAAACAGCTGGCTAGTCTCCCTAAGTATTCCCAAGCTCAGATGCGGTACATACAGTGCCCATAATGTTTTCAAGCGCGATCCCATGATGGGGAAGATTAAAATTGCCAGTTTCAGAGCCAGAAACATCAGTGCAAGTACCATGTATGGCTCTCTTTCTGCTATTTCTTTGACAGATGACCCGTTGAGTAGCCATGTGATCAGGTTTCCATCAGTTTCCAAGCTTGCTGGTTCACCTTCATCCACATACTGGACAGGTTTAAGACCTAGAAAACCACAAAGATACACCATGCGGAGCTTGTTATAAAAAAAAGTTGAGCTAAATTTTTCCCAGGCATTTATGTTTCTTCAAGGGATACAGCAGAAAATATGAGAAGAATGTATAAACAGAGACGTAGTCTCGCATTTCATGAAGCACGCTTTTACCTGTTGTATCCTTGTAAAACTGAATCAGGGATTTAAGATCTTTTTGACCCTGGTATCGCACCTTCACATTCTGATTCACCATCAGGATTGAGGGCAAGCTATGAATACCATACCTAGAAAAGACACTGCAATAGTGAAAATCATGAGATCAATTAACATTGACCAAAGAAGATGCCAAAAAAAAAGGATAAATACATTCAGTATTTTGGAGGATGAGCTATTCATGAGTCATGATACAACATCATAAGGCTAAAAAGGTTATGCAGCACAACAAACTAATTAATCTACATTTGATGGTCACCCAAATAGTCTAAATTATAGCCACTAGCAAAGCATCATTCATTTTCTGTTACCTTATTTGTCATTTGTTGGTAAAACTAATTCACTAAGACGAAAACTGTTACCAAGTAGTGGAAAAAAACTGATTGATTACGTACTAAAAATATGACAAGCAACGAAGAATCATTTTTTTTTCTTCTGCAAGTGAGATATCAACACTCAAATTTCTTATCGTAAGTGATTCAAATGATCCCTGGCCTCTATATGTCTAATAAGATGCAAATGGAATTATACACATATTCTATAGCCGAAGAAACTTCTTACGATGGTAAAGCCTGAGATTGCTCAACAACCAGGTGCTTTATGTGAGGAAACATTGAACTCAGAACATCAAACTTCGGGTGTACTGCACGTGAATTCGGGCACCGCTTGGCATAAAACAGTATGGATGTATATACATTTCCATGGTTTGCATCCATGAGTCTGTCTAGCAAGTCTCCATCTACCTGCATTAGTAAAATACAAATTTTGATACTTCTTGAGTTACAAAAGCAAGCACAGATCCAAGTCCTCACCCTATGGAGAAACACACATATATACTAGTTTTTGCTATATCATATTTGCTGCAACTGACTAAGAATGTTGGTAGAGAGACCAGTGTTGACACAATTAAAGGCATGCATCAAAGAACTTTACATATACATTGCAGTCTTGAGATAAAAGAGATCCTAAATATAAAAGAAACAACAAAGTATGATCATGATAGGTCACAAATACATCATAGTCATAGACTTGTCCTTCCTAAGTGGACCATTTCATCATGAACTAACATTTACTGACAACATATTTCTACCAGCTTCCTTTTACAGTAAAGACCTCTAAATTCATTGAAATTCCTCTAAGTTCTAACTGCTGATACACCACTACCACAGCGGTGGAGTAAAGCTACAAGCCTATACCGTTTTCCTAAAATACTAGCGTGAACTGTTAAGAGCTTAAGCTTAAGATACAACCAAAAAGAAAACTGAAAAGGAGACTTTTTTTCACCACCACAAGACTAAAATGACATGCCAAACAAACTAAAGAGGGCTTTATGGAAGAGTTATCATCTGAATTCCTAAAGATGAAAATCTAAGCAAGTTGTTCTACTTTAATCACAGAAAACGCCACAAACCCAACTCAGGGATTTTCACACCAGACATACATATCTAACACAAAGCATCCCAAATCCAATCGAAGATATGTATATTAATTTCTAACAAATCATAGGGAGTATGGTGACGTACCTCGACAGGAGGGCTCGGATAGAGAGAGCGAGGACATTTCTGCTCAATTCCGGATCGGAACACCACGAATTCGTGATCGCAAACGTCAACGTAAGCGAACCCAGAAGGTACGCATAATCCAGCTACCGCAGAGAAGAGGAGGAGTACGTAGACCCACAAATTCATCAAATCAGAAACCTAAATCTACGGGCAAGAGATACAGATCAAAGTTCCCAAATTCTCTAAGAGAATCACACAAAGAACCTTTATTTTATGTTTTTGACAATAAAAAAAACAAAAAAAAACTCAAAGGTGAAATGGCATCAGAAATGGAGGAGAAAAGCACGAAATCAAAAACCAAAGGGGAAACCTTAGATTGAGCAAATGAGCAACGAGAGCATAAAGAAGATAACTTTCAAAGAGGAAATTGAAAAATGTAATTCTCAGAATTTGGGAAAAGTCTCAGATCTATTATATGGTAAAAATATCATCACACAGAAAAGAAAAAAGTTTTTATTGTCACTTGTTTCTGCAGAAACATACAGATGGAGAACGCCAATATCGCATTCGTCACATTCCTTTTTTTTTTTTTTTTTTGGCTCTCCACTACACCACTTATCTTGCCGTGTGATAGGTGCATGTGTTAAACATATGTCTTGGTTCGATTAGTTTATGTGTAATAACACCAACGACTCTTACTATATTTCATGTCCACTTCTTTAATTTTCGTAACTGTTTGTTTATTTTAAAATTTAGTACTGTTACAAGATTGACCCAAAAGATAACCAATCGTAAAGGCTTATTAATTAGATCCAGTAAGGCCCATTAGCTTCATTTTCTTCAGAATTTGACCTTTTAATGTAGGGATTGACCGAGTAGCAGTAGTAAAAACTAAAAAGAGTTCTCTCTTCTCTTTCTCCTCTATTCTTATTTTCTGATTAGTTTTTTTAGGGCTTTGAAGCACGAACGCGTGAAAGCTCAAAAATGGATGTTGCGGATAGGAGGGACGATGAGATCAGGGAATCTGGAAACATGGACAGCGTTAAGTCTCACTATGTTACAGACTCTGTTTCCGAAGAACGCCGCTCTCGTGAGCTCAAGGATGGTCTCCATCCTCTACGGGTTTGTTCTCTAAATCCTTCCTATCGATTGATTTCCTTTTTTTTCAATTTGAATCTGTTCGTAGCTGAAACATTGATCCTCGTGCGTCGAAGATTTGGGAATTTTATAGCTGGGGTAGTAGTGGAAGATTCGGATTCTAAACGGTTTCGCGACTTTGTTTAGATATGTGTTAGCTCATATGTTATAGGATTCTACTCTAGTTTGATTCTCATATTCGTGGAACTGATTTTAGCTAGAACAGGTCAGATTGATTTAAGAGAAAATGAGATCGTTGATACCATTTTGTTAAGGTCAAATACTGTCTCAGTGGCTCCACGTTTATATATTTTGGGAATGTGCAGTACAAGTATGCGATTTGGTACACCCGTCGCACACCAGGGGTTCGGAACCAGACATCTTATGAGGATAACATAAAGAAGATTGTGGAGTTCAGCACTGTAAGCTTAAATATTACTAATGGAAGTCCTTTCTTGAACTGGTTCACAACTTTATACTGTTCATTTCTGAGATTTGGCTTTGGTAACCTAGGTTGAAGGTTTTTGGGCCTGCTACTGTCATCTCGCTCGGTCATCTCTCTTGCCTAGTCCAACAGATCTTCACTTCTTTAAGGATGGGGTTCGCCCCTTGTGGGAGGTACATCTTTCCATTTGCTGATTTTTTCTCATTGTCTTTGTGTTTGTTTGTATGTATGTGGATCATCAATAATCTGAAAACCATTTACACAACAAATATTTCTCGGAAGTTTTCCTACAATAAACCAACTAAACCAGCTTCATTCATCTCCTTCAGGATAGTGCCAACTGCAGTGGAGGAAAGTGGATAATACGTTTCTCAAAAGTTGTATCTGCTCGTTTCTGGGAAGATCTGGTGAGCTTATTTTCTTATGGGCACTTCTTTTGAGTTTTGATACCCTTTCATTCAAAAGGAATATTTGTTAATGTTCTTTATTGTCAATCGTTCTTACTAGTGTCAGCGTTTTTGTATCTGCGAATCATACTCCCATTTATTTGTTTCTTCAGCTTCTTGCGTTGGTAGGCGACCAGCTTGACGATGCTGATAGCATATGTGGGGCAGTGCTGAGTGTCCGCTTCAATGAGGACATCATTAGTGTATGGAACCGCAATGCTTCTGACCATAAGGTGAGAGAACTATTACTCTTTCTCTCCCTGTCTGTCTCCCCCTACTTTTGGTTTTGTACTTATACAGTGCAATGTTATCTGTGAACAGGCAGTGATGGGTTTGAGAGACTCGATCAAGAGGCATTTGAAGTTACCTCATGCATATGTCATGGAATACAAGCCCCACGATGCTTCTCTTCGCGACAACTCTTCCTACAGAAACACATGGCTGAGAGGGTAGGCTCTAAGTGGACAGTTGTATCTTGTAATGTGGAGAAGATTTGGGAAGCTCTTCTGCAACCTGGGATGATATCTGGATTGAACCCTGTATCCAATGCCATACTGTACCGGAGGCTTTCAATTTCAGGAAAAAAAAAATCCAGGCTACTTACTGTGTCAGTAGGTGTTCAATCGTTTTATTGTTTCTAGATCTTGTCACCTTCAATGGTTTTTATTCAAAACTATAAGGATTCATTTTCAAATAAGACGGAAGCTCAAAGTACTGTTTTATATTATGACTCAAGTCTTAAACAGTAACAGTATGTCAATATACAATTTCACTTCATACTATGGTCTCTAGTGGACATCTACATATGAAAAGAGTGTGGCTCTGGGTCTGGATGGTCCATTGATCTCAACAGCTATAGTTTAGCATCAGCAGATGATTGAAGTCCGATGATACCTGGTTCAATATCAAAAAACATAGAGGTTAAAATTAAGTCACCCACCAGAAAGGAGAAAATAAGAGAAAATGGTGTTGCTCTGTTTTTCTCAAATCTTAGCCTTGTAGCATTACCGCATCCAACCCTCGAGCCTGCATTTCCAGTTGATTTGCTAAGTTTGTGCCCTCCTGCACAGTAACAATCACAAAGAGATCATAGTTCAGTAAAATATAAGGCACATCATGAATCTAAGAACTATCCGAGTACTTGATGAAAACCTACATGAAACTACAGTGACTGCTTTTGAGATTCTACCCTCAAACTTCTGCAACTCACTTAACATATACTTTTTTTTTGGTGAGGCTCACTTAACATATACTGACATAATACATAAAGGCTATAAGTTCCTACCTTTCCCAAGGTCATCACGGTCAGCATGCACAACAACCGCCCTCCCAAGGATAGAATACTGCCCACTAAGCGGTATCTGTAAATTAAGAGAGAAGTCGAAATAAGTACCAAATGGGAAATGGTAGACAGAGATATGTGCTGGGGCTTTGCAAAACCCACAGAGAAAATGTAAATGTTTATTTTGTCAAACAGTAAATGGTTGAAGAAAGGAAAAAAGAAAATATCCTTTACCTGTTTATCTTTGATTGAGATTTCAGCAACACCTGAAAACAAGTCTCATCCAAACATACTAGCATCATTTTTCAAAAGGCACAAAACTATAAAGATAATAAAGGAACAAAGATTATACCGTCTGGTCCCGCAAGAATGTTACCCAAATCGCCTGCATGACGCTCGTCCTCATTTGGGGGTCCGTGAACTCGATTTAGTGGATTGAAGTGAGGTCCTGAAAATTAACATTTTCATGAGAACTCAACTATATCTCAGAGGGAAAAAAACCCAGTAAACGCAGCATGTATAGCTGCTGATCACTATAAAGAGACATGAAGGTTGGTTTCTGGTTCTGTTATCAGTTATCTATATGGTTCTTTGAGCTAATCCTTTGTAAATACTAAGAGCCAATCTAAACTAAGAGTCAATCATCAAGATCAAGCAAGATTACTCTTTTCATATGTCTATATGAGTCTCAGTCTATCAGATGAAATTTTTTTTACAAAAAACAGTTAAAAGACTTGTAAATAAAACAAGCTACCAAAAGATACAATATATCAGAAGGTAAATCAAACTCAGTAGAACCACACAAATAAACGCAACAACAAAAACCAATCTCAAAATTTGTGAAATGTACAGTAACATAGACAGAGACGAACCAGTAGAGTTGCAGCCATTCGTAGTATCACCAAAAGAGTGAATATGAAATCCATGGAAGCCAGGAGAGAGTCCTGAGATCTTCCCAGTAACATGAGTAGTCCCTATAAAGCACACAAAACAGCCCCCCACAGACCAAAATAAAAGCTCAGCTGAGTGGAATAGAGAGCATGTCCTCATCGATTTAAAAATCTAAGCTGATAACGACAGATCACCGGAAATGTCTTGTAGGAATTGAAGACATCCTCGAACGTTGTTATCGCCGGCGATAAGAGCCACCGCTCTGAGATTGCCTCTAGGAGCTTCCATTGCTTCTGTGTTTGGGAGCTGATGTGATTGTATATCGGATTAAATTGAGTTGCGTACCGGTTAAGACTTTAAATGGAACTAAAATCGAAATTGAACCGGAACTATATTAACCCGAATTAATTCCGAACCGGAAAGAAGATTCATTGTATTAATTAAAGTACTCCTATGTCCTAACACAAAAGTCTCAAAGAAACAATGTAATAACACACCATAATAACTAATCAAGATCGCTTCCTAACACCTGAACTAAAGTTTCAGAGATTGATCAAACTGAGATCAGCTCTTCACAATCATAATATCATGGAGTCTTGAATCTGGAGACTTTAACAAGCATCTCGGTCGGTTTGATGAGCGTGAACGTGCAAACGTCTCCAACCACTAAACTTAAATCTTTGGCCAAACGAATCCATCCAGCAGAGAATCTTGACTGTACACCAGTGATCTTAAACATAACATTCCATGAATTTTCCCCTTCCGGATCATGAATCTTGAACATTGTTGTCACCTTTGGCATATGCAGCTCTTCAAACAACTTAGGAATCCCCTGGAAATCACAAATTCTTAATGGATTAACAACCCAGATTTTATATAAACCAATTTGACATTGTCACGGTTGTTTCTATTCTTACCAAGAATATGAGGTATGATTTCTTTATGGTGATGGAAAATTCTGGAACAAGAGACATAGTGTCGTCTTCAGAGTCGTCACAAATATTGTCCACCTTCATCTTCTTCTTCTTTGATTTCTCAGTTTCCTCGGCTTCCCTAGTTTTCGAGCTAAGCTTTTGTCTTCTTCCTATGGATTCAGCTGATTCGTGACCAGGATAGCTTGATTCAGACCAAGACTCAACCTCTTCCCTCTTCACATGTTTGTAGATGTTCTTCCTTTGTTCTCTCTTGTTCCGACCTGTTTTCATCAAATTCAACCACAAAAAGTGATTCAAGGCTGCCTTATTCTTCTTTTCCATAAGCAATACATAGATATGAACACTTACCAGAACTAGAAGCAACAGTAGTTGCAGATCTGCGTTGTCTGAGCAGCTCCTTACCGTCTATCTGGTAGATGTCTACGGCAAAGCACATATTTCCTTTGTGAGTAAAGGTAAGAAACTCGTCATTACCCAAACTATTGTCACTCAAAAACTGATCCCATCCCTTTTTCTCCATAAAGTAGAATCTTGGGTTTCTAGAAATTCTGATTGCCCATGAGCTTCCCCACGACACTTTCAACACCATCTTAGCCGATAACTGCTTTTCCGAGATGCTTCTGATGAAGTTTAGAGGAATCCCTCTCTGTAAAACATCCACAAAAGCACACATTGAGGCCAAAGTTTCAACCTTTCTGACCTTAATCGATTTCACACATGAACCCAACAAAGTAAAAACAAAACAGAGCAAATTCTCACCAAGAGCAAACTAAACAGAGCAAAAGAAACATACTAAGAGAACAAAAGCAAGTAAAGTTTCCTTTTCGAGACCCATTTAGCACAAAACAATGGAGGAACCAACAAGATTCTATCTTTTAAAATCGATTAAGAAGAAGTATGGCAAAAATCAAGAGAAACTTGATATTGATTACCATGGTTTCAGACGACAAAGTAGCCCTTCGAAGGATCTTGAAGAATCCTGGTTTATCACCATCATCCATAATCTCACCAAAAGCTCTGTTTTTCACCATCTCTCTCTTTCTTCAACCCTATTTCTCTCTCTCTCTCTTGCTCTCGGATTTAAATGATGACTTACAATTCTCTCTTTCTATATTTCTTTGCTTTCGTCATATTACCAAATACAGGAAGCTGTGTGTTTTGTGACTTCAAAGACACGCTTTTTTTAGTAACTAGGTTTTACTACAATGACAGTGACTAGTTTACTTCATTTACTCTCAGTTAATTACTCTTACAGGCTTACAGCCAATTTTTTACTTACAATTACAGATATTTCTAAGAATTCAGAACAGATACATTGTATTGTATGAGGATAGTGCGCAACGCAATATGTAACCTGCATGTGTTTTACATCTTAATCTATAGTTCATGCGTTACCTGTCAATGTAATGTTATAAAGTAAGTGTGAAGATGTTGTTTATAGGATAAAAATGTAACACGAGTTTTGAATCTCTATGATAATTATTGTTTCCTCTTTTTGGTTACTATATATATTCAAAATTTGTTTTTACATATTAGTCTTTAACTAGATATAGTTTTGACCCCAGTACTCTTTCACATGAGATTGAATTTGAAAGCTTTGAAAACTGTTTATGAAATTATTTAGCAAATTCACTTACGAATAGCTTTAACAATATTATCATAATTGAGAAGGATTTTTAGAGTTCAAGCGGTGGTAGCCATTAGGAAAAATAAACACATGCAAAACAAGACACTACCTGTCATGTGTGAACTGGTTTAGACTTAAGATTTTAAACCTAAAATTTCGGTTAAGATAAATAGAGAGCAGCAGCCTCAAACCGGGTTGAAACGCAGCGAAATGCGGGAAAAAACAAGATTTTCCGGAATTAAAGTTCGGGGGATTGAACCCGACGTGAATCGAACACGCAACCTTCTGATCTGGAGTCAGACGCGCTACCATTGCGCCACGGATCCGGATTGCTATTTACTCCAATTAATTTTATATGATCACAAAACTTATATTTAAAATAGTTCTTCAATTGGTTGTCTTTGTGTTTCAATGATCGATCCAATAAAATTGTATTGATATGAATCTTGTCTGTTGCATTAAAATGGCATTCACTCTCTAAACTTTTGGAACAACGACTCTTTCAATTAGAAGAAAGAGCAAAAATGCTCAGCTATTTACAATGAATAAGTCTATTTTCTAAACTAGGAATAACAAAAAAATGTTGGATCGGTTATCATTGGAGCCGAGAAGTCACATTGATGAATGTATCTTCAGGACATGGAATCGTTAAACCGCCCATCGGATGATCGAATCCAAACTCTTCTTCGGATTTACTGAGAAGAGCTTGGAATGAAGGCTGGTTTAAGTATGAGATTGGCACCAAATATCTCTTCTTCTGGCTCTCTCCTACGTACACCGCAAGAAACCCTTTTGGTGCCTCGGAGGCTGCTCTGGTTGAACGGCTTAGAATCTTCTTTGCACCTAGTAGATTTCTCACGAAAGCCATTTCTTTCTTTAGTGTCTGAAAAGTTTGAATTCTTTTGAAGCTTCTGAAGATGTATGAAAAGATTTCAAGTTATTGGATTGTTTGTTGTTGGTTGATGCTGGAAAGAATGAGTTAAGTGCGTATATATAGAAAGATCAACGAAGGATTTGAACCCTCTCTGAAAAATCGTAGAAACTTGTGGTCTTGAAGCGATGGACAGACTAGAATAGAGAACATGGTTCTGTCTCTACCATTTGGAAAAGATGCATTGATAAAATTTGTCTTGATGAGATAATTAATAAGTGTGGGACAATAAGCTAGAAACAAACTCCATATGCAATTCACAAGGGACTGTTTTCTCAATGATTTTTTTAGATAAGACATGCTATTGTCAATAATAAGGCCCAGCAAGTTTCTCTTCTCCATGTTCTGTGATCATCCTATTCTCTAATCTCTGTGGTCTAAATGGATTTAATAACAACTTAAAGTGGGGACTTGAAGTTTCTCAACAACAGAACAACAAGTCTATGTCACTGGTTAAGTTGTTCTTTTATGATATTCAGAAATGAAGAGTCTGTGTTAGGTTGCTGGTGAAGTCAATGTCAGAGACAAAGCTGTCGAGAATTAAGACAGGAAGACAAAGGCATGAGCTAGGTTCCTCTTTAAGCCTGAGATTAATCCATAAACTTTCTTCAAGTACACCATTGTTATGATCTTTACTATAAGTAGCTGCTACTGTTCTTAACAACTATCTTTCATGTACACAATTTCAGGAGAGGAAACATTCTGTTCTTAGAGCTTTATTAAATAGAAAACGACTGGTTCTTTTCAGGAATGAAAAGCATGTTTAGGTGTGGAGGAGAAGGAGCAGAAGAGCTAGAAGAGAAACAAAGTAAATCACAAGAAGCAGACAAAAAAGACAAGAGAACATGTCATTCAGGTTATACAAATTATGTGAAAGGTAAGAGATGAACAAGAAAAACATTAAAACACTCCCATTAACATACTCTTGCAGACATTCAGATAGATCTTTAGATTGAACCAAGGAAGCTTTTGACGAGCTGAGCCACTGAATGAGCCAAAGTATCAGCAGCTTCTTGAGTGGATGCTTCTGCATATACTCTCACCACATCTTCTGTACCTGAGGGCCTTATAAAAGCTCTGCCACGCTGGTATTTCTTGATCTCAGAATTTATAGCATCTTGAATCCCCAAAGGTTTCAGAGCCTCGGTTTCTTCGCTTGTGGTCACAACCGCTGTTCTGTCTGGAACTTCGACCTGGATTTGTCTGCTAGGAAGGTCCTTGTATAGCTCATTCCACTTCTGTATTGACCATCCTATGTGTTGCAGAATCACTTCAACCAAGAGCACTCCACTTAGAGCGTCACCAACCGCTTGGTTAATCAGATTACTCACCGCCACTAGTCTAGAAACCGCTTTGTGCTCTTCAGAACCGCCATGACCTGTGGCGGTTAGATCCTTTTGTTTGGTAACTAACCAAGATAGGAAAGATTCCTTGAAGAGTATAGTCCCATGGCCATTAGCTTCAAAGTAGATTCCGATATCAAACTCTGCTGCTTTCTCGTGTAAATGTTTTACCCCTGTCTTAGCAAAAACAACATCTAAACCCAACTGCTTCAGGTAATCCGTGGATGCACCATTAGCGTAGGCTGTCTGCACCACACCAAGCCGAGACTGCTTCCCTTCTTTATCATCATCAAGAATGTTGAGTTGCTCTTTGATGAAGAGAGCAAACAAAGATAAAATCTTATCACCATCAAGTAGCTCAACCTTTACATCAGAAGTAGAATCTGAAGGAATGTAAAAGTAAACCAAACGATCTGCATCGCCGTCCAAACTCGCACACCTCATCCCAACATCCTTTAACCCAAATCCTAAAGGCACAACCTTTTCTTTCTGCACAAAATCAGCACCTACACCTTCATTAAGCACACCTCCATCTCTCCCTGTATTACGAATCTCAAGATCAAGATTACTCAAAGACCCTCTTAGCTCCTCAATCTTCTGTCCACCTACACCATTAGCACCATCTACAAGCAATTTGCTAATCTCAAACTTATTGTTTCCACTAATTGGAATAAGATCAATCAAACACCTAAATGACGTAGAAAGATTCTCAAAGTAATCATACTCAGTAGCCTTAAGACCTTTATTCTTAGCTCGAACCATCCAATGCAACTGTGGAGTTGTCAAAATCCCAATGTCAATCGCAACAGACCCCAAAATTGAACCAACACCGATCTCCGCAGCTCGGAGAAGCGATTCACCACTAGGTCTTGTATCCCTTCCCAACCATACCTCTGCACCTTTCTTATTATCTCCGATTGTAATACCTTCCTTCTTCACAAATTCTCTAATCAACGAGACGAGTTCTTCAGGAGAAGATGCGTTGGCGATCTGATCAGCAAAAGGCTCCCATTCCTGAGAAAGCATACCCCCAGATGGATCTGAAACTTTAATGCCATTGTCGGAGACTTTGTTGTGCGACGCTGTGATCATAAGCCCGATGGTGGCTGATCCGAGCTTAAGCGATCGGAGAGCTGAGAGAATCCCAACTCTGTAGACAGTCGATTCAAGCAATTTTGCATCGCCTCGGAACCCAGCTGTTCCATAAGATAGCTTAAGGCCTTGAGGAATCGGAAAAAGCTCAGATGATTTGAGGAGTGAAGCAATTTGGATTTCGTCCATGGCGCTTGTGTGAGAAAGTAGAAGCAGAGTAGCAAAATGAATCTAGTAAACGTAAAGGAAGCTTTTTTATATTATTTTTGACATAAAATAAGCTTTTTTATTTTATTAATGACTCAAGATACATGTTTTCTTTTTTCACCTCCTCCATATAACTCGTCTCCCTCCAGCCGAGTCAGATCTCTTTCTTTTGCCCTTTTCCGGTCTTCTTCTTCTTTCGCTCATGAACGTCCGATGAACAGTTTGGTTCTCTGGTTAGATCTGATGTTTCAAACAGCAGCTTTTTCCGTTTGCACTTCTCAGTTTTACCAAAATATCTGTCTCTTGGATGTAATATTTTGGTCAAATTGAGTAGTGCAATAGGAAATTGGCCGATGGCAATTATTAGGGTTTCTCGTAATTGAAAAGCTGAGGAACTGTTTACAAGTGGGTCGACTCTTCTTAGCTACTTCAACTATACTGCTTCTTTGATATACACCATGTACTTTTTGCCTCTTTTCTAAACACTCTCAATAATTTATTTCTCTATTAAACATCACAAACTAAATATTATCATTCAATTGCAACACTGCGACTATGACGTGTGATTAAACTTACTAAACCGGTAATAGCGTTTTTTAGATATCACGATTGCGTTTAGTGAACCCACAAAATTAACCCCATCCAATTTTCTGATTTTTTTTCTTCTATCATATAAAAGGTCCTCACAATTAGGGTTTCTGTCTTCTTTATAATTGTTCTTCATACTCCATCACTCGTTTCTCTCTTTTTCTTAGTTTCTTGGGTAAAGTCTTCTTTCTCTCTCTCATCCCCTTTTATAGTTTTTATCTATCTCTTTTGTTAGCTTATATTTAGAGCTATTACTTTTCCAGTTGCATGGTGAACGTAGAAGACATGGTCGAGATACAACCAGACGATATGGAAGATTTTGATACCTATTATAGTGAGGAAAACGAAAAACAAAGAGAAGGTAATAAAAGGAAAAATGATAGTGAAGCCGAAGATGATGAAGATGGAATGGACCGGTTTGAGTTTGAAGTAGAAACATCAATAGGGAATTTCATTGATGAGTTGTCTGTTGGCCGAAATGAAATTCCAGACAGTTCGGATGAAGAGGAAGATCCGATCGTTTTGCGAGATAGAAGAATCCGTAGGAGCAGAGTTGATAGATTATATATAGGTCAGTCGTTCTTCAATGGTGTTGAATTTAAAGAGGCTGTAATTGAGTACGCTTTAAACACAGGGAATAATGTCGTTCAAGGCAGATGGGAGAAGACAAAGCTTGAATTCAAGTGTGGCATTGTTGGTAAGTGTAAGTGGAGGGTGTATTGCTCTTATGATGAGATGAAACAAATGTGGGTGGTGAAGACGACATACAAAAAGCATAGTTGTACTCCAAATGGGAGATGCAGGCTACTTAGAAGTCCAGTTATTGCAAGGCTTTTCATGGACAAGCTAAGAGTGAATCCTGAATTCATGCCTTTGCAAATTCAAAATCACATTAAAGATCAATGGAAGTTGGTGAGTTCTAGGGGTCAATGTCAGAGCGCAAGGCTGCTAGCTCTCAAGTTGCTTGAGAAGGAGTATGAAGAACAATTTGTTCACATTCGTGGTTATGTGGAAGAGATTATGACTACAAATCCGGGATCAACTGCCATTGTCGAAACTAACCCTAACTCTGCCAATAAAGATGTTTTCAGCCGTTTTTATGTGTGTTTTGAAATCATACGCACACTTTGGAGAGGTTCTTGTCGACCAATCATCGGACTTGATGGCACATTTTTGAAAAGGGCAGTGAAAGGCGTGTTGTTGGCTGCGGTTGGTCATGATGCAAACAATCAAATTTATCCACTTGCTTGGGCTGTAGTACAATCTGAAACTGGGGATAACTGGTTATGGTTCCTCCAGAGACTCAAGGCTGATTTAAAACTAGAAGATGGAGAAAGATTTGTTCTGATATCTGATAAATCGAAGGTATGTACCAAAAGTGTAACTTCTCTCTCTTTGTTTTGAACTTTTTCTCTTGTGACAACCTATGAAATTGTGATTCATAATTTTCATTTTATTAGGGACTCATAAGTTCTGTGCAAACAGAATTGCCTAAAGCTGAACACAGATTTTGTGTGAAACACATCATCGAGAACTTGAAGAATAAGCATCCAAAAAAAGATATGATCAAACCATTGATATGGCAACTAGCTTGGAGCTACAACAAGACTGAATTTAAGGACAACCTCAACAAGGTTAAAGAGTATAGCATTGATGTCTACAATTTGGTGATGAAAAAGCAACCGGAGACATGGTCAAGAGCTTTCTTTAGGCTTGGAAGCAACTGTGAGGATGTTGATAACAACGCCACAGAATCATTTAACTCATCCATTACAAAAGCAAGAGCTAAGGCAATGATTCCGATGTTGGACACAATTAGACGGCAAACTATGCAACGAATGGTGAAGAGACATAATAAATCCAAGAATCACGAAGGGAGGTTTACAGATTATGTTGCCAAAATTCTTGCAAAAGAGAAGAAAGATGCAAACAAGTGTGAAACAACTCCAGCAACTCATGGAGTTTATGAGGTTATGCTTTATGGGAATGATTATTCGGTGAACACGAAGAAAAGAACATGCACATGTGGTAAATGGCAAATAAGTGGGATTCCATGTGAACATGCTTATGGAGC